CTTTCACGTCAACTCCATAGCTGAACATGAGAAGCTCGAAGCAGCAATAGTATGTCTGGAGGGAAAAGCAGTGAACTGGTACCAGTGGCTTGATACGCGGGTACCATTGAGTAACTGGCCAGAATTTAAAAGGGAGTTGCTGCGGCGATTCCACGCTTCACAACCCGGCGGTGAATATGAACGACTATTTATAGCTAAGCAAGAGAAGTCTGTGCTAGAATTTGTAGAGGAATTTGAACTATTATCGGCGCCATTAAAGGAAGCTTCCGAGGAGTGTTTGATCGGTGCATTCAGGTCTGGACTCAAGACAGAGGTTAGGGCTGAACTGAAGGTGACGAAGGCGGCGACTCTGCGGGAACTGATGGAAATGGCAGTATGTATTGAAGAAAGAAACCGGATGCTGGAAGACTGCAGAGACACGAGAGGAACCCGAGCTCAGCGGACCCATCTCGGATCCAAACCCGACCCGACCCAGGTCACTTATTTTCCACGCGTGACTCACGTGACTGAAGGAGGAAGGAACGCCAGTGTGGTCGCGTCTTCTTCCGCATCCAGTGCGAAGAAAAATGACATTGGAACAGAACCTTCGAAGGCTGGGAGCAGCACAAATTCTGGAACCACCGCGAGGAGAGGAGGAAATTCTCGTCGACTCCCTGATTCTGAAATTGCAAGACGCAGAGAGCTTGGGCTTTGTTTCAAATGTGGAGACAAATACAGCCCCACTCATCAATGTAAAAATAAGAACCTTCAAGTGCTGATAATGGAGTTAGGAGCCAACACAGAAGGCGAAGAAGATGATTCAGCACTCGAAAATGAAGGTGGATATTCTGAACCTACTGAGGACGGTACGCAGATGGAATTATCTCTTAATTCCATGGCTGGGTTTGGTGATAACCACACCATGAAAGTCAAGGGAAAGATTGGAGACACACAGATAATCATTCTCATTGACAGTGGTGCCACCCATAATTTCATTGCTGAAGATCTGCACAGTAAGTTAAGTCTACCCTTTGATGAAATATCTGAATACACCATTACAGTAGGGGATGGGTATGCTATAAAAGGGAAGAGGCGTTGTAAGGATCTATGTTTAAGTGTTCAGAATCTTAATATAGTCCAAACTTTCTACCCTTTTAAGCTGAGTGGAGTTGATGCAGTGCTGGGAATGGAATGGCTGAAATCCTTAGGAGATGTAAAGGTTAATTGGAACCAATTAACGATGAAAATTGGCAACAAGGATAAGAGAGTATGCTTGCAAGGGGACCCCTCCCTTACTCGAGCCCAAACCACATTCAGGTCTCTAATTCGTTCAGTAGGTAAGAAAGGAGAAGGGTTTCTAATTGAATATAGAGGGATTAGTAGCAGCACTGAAGATACAACAGTCTTGAGCCCAGAAATTCAGAATTTACTAGAAAAATTTCCTACAGTCTGCAAGGTTTTGGAAGGCCTACCCCCTCCGCGAGCACAAGACCACGCTATCATAATTAAACCAGGGGAGCAGCCACCAAATATCAGGCCTTACCGGTACCCTCATTTGCAGAAGAATGAGATAGAAAACTTGGTGACAGATATGCTGAAGTCAGGAATTATTCAACCAAGTACTAGTCCTTATTCAAGCCCGGTACTGTTAGTTAAGAAGAAAGACGGAAGTTGGAGGTTCTGTGTTGATTATAGAGCCTTAAATAAAATTACTGTTCCGGATAAGTTCCCAATCCCAGCCATTGACGAGTTGCTAGATGAATTGAAGGGAGCTACAATTTTTTCCAAACTAGATTTAAAATCTGGGTACCACCAAATACGAATCAAGGCTGGGGATGAGCCTAAAACAGCATTCCGAACACATGAGGGGCACTATGAATTTAAGGTGATGCCTTTCGGATTAACTAATGCTCCCTCCACTTTTCAATCATTGATGAATGAGGTATTTCGAGAGTACTTGCGCAAGTTTGTGTTGGTGTTTTTTGATGACATTCTCATATACAGTGATGGCCTAACCTCACATTTGAAGCATTTGGAGACTGTTTTCTCTATTTTGAAGGAAAACCAGCTGGTTATTAATTTAAAGAAATGCAGTTTTGTGCAACCAAAGATTGAATATTTAGGCCATTTAATATCAAAAGAAGGGGTGCAAGCCGATCCAAGCAAGATAGAAAGCATGGTGAATTGGCCTAAACCTAAGAATGTAAAATCATTAAGGGGATTCCTAGGGCTGACTGGATACTATCGACGATTTGTCAAGAATTATGGGAAAATCGCTAGTCCTCTTACTGAACTACTCAAGAAGGATTCTTTTAAGTGGTCCCAAGAAGCAGAAAAAGCTTTTGATCAACTCAAAACAACCATGACTACACTACCCGTGCTTGCTATGCCTGATTTTTCCATTCCTTTTGAGTTAGAAACTGATGCATCGGGAACGGGAGTAGGGGCTGTTTTGATGCAACAAGGCAGACCAGTGGCTTATTATAGTCAAAAGCTTTCAAATAGGGCTCAACAATGCTCTATCTACGAAAGGGAGCTTATGGCTATTGTAATGGCAGTCAAGAAGTGGCGACATTATCTTTGGGGGCACAAATTTACCATCCGCACTGATCAAAAGGCTCTGAAATACCTGCTGGAGCAAAGAGTAGTTGACGAGAACCAGCAAAAATGGGTCTCCAGATTGATGGGATTCAAATTCGAAATTGTGTATAAGCCCGGGAAGGAGAATAGGGCTGCTGATGCTCTGTCTAGGCAAGATGAGTCACTTGAACTAATGGGATTTTCATTATGGCAGTATGATGATGTGGAAGAATGGGAAAGAGAGGTACTAGCTGACCCGAAATTGAGCAAAATTCTGCAGCAACTCATTACCAATAAAGAGGGGGTAGAAGGTTACAGCTTGATACATGGATGTCTACACTACAAGGAGAGGTTAGTTCTACCAAGGGAGTCCACCAGAATTCCTTTGCTCCTCAAAGAATATCATGACTCCCCAATGGGGGGCCATTCGGGCTACTTACGCACCTACAAGCGGCTGTCCAATGTAGTGTATTGGGAGGGAATGAAAAGAGATGTCCAGCAATATGTGGCAAGTTGTGAGGTGTGCCAGAAGAATAAATACCAAGCTTTATCCCCGGCTGGACTGCTGCAACCATTGCCCATTCCACAAAATGTGTGGGAGGATATTAGCATGGATTTTATTACTGGACTTCCTAAATCCAAGAGGTATGACACAATACTAGTTGTGGTGGACAGACTTACTAAATATGGCCATTTTTTCCCATTATCCCACCCTTTTTCTGCCAAAGATGTTGCTGAAAGCTTTATAAGGGAGATTGTCAAGTTGCATGGGTTTCCTAAAACTATTGTTTCAGATCGGGACAGGGTTTTTATAAGCCACTTTTGGCAGGAATTGTTCAAGCAAGCCGGCACACAACTCTGTCTCAGTTCCTCTTACCACCCAAAATCAGATGGACAAACTGAGGTGATCAATCGAAGCTTGGAAACTTACTTGCGTTGCTTTGCAAACGAAAAGCCTTCACAATGGGCTAAATGGCTATCTTGGGCTGAGTATTGGTATAATACTTCTATGACACCCTTTAAAGCGGTGTATGGTCGGGATCCTCCAGCATTCTTGAAGTTGAGTGGTGAACCCTCAGCTATAGAGGATGTAAACGAGCAAATTCAGGTTCGGAATCAGATCATCTCCCTTTTGCGGGATAATTTGGCTAAGGCTCAAAGCAAAATGAAAGAGCAAGCCAATAAACATAGAAGAGATGTCCAGTTCAATGTTGGAGATTTTGTCTTTGTGAAATTGAGACCCTACAGGCTGAAAACATTGGCTAAGAGAGTCAATGAAAAGTTGAGCCCTCGTTTTTATGGCCCTTTCAAGGTTCTTGCGAAAGTTGGGAATGTAGCCTACAAACTGGAATTGCCACCCACAGCTCGTATTCACCCGGTTTTTCATGTTTCACAACTGAAACAATCGGTGCCTTCGATGGTGGTGAACCCTACCATTCCTCCGGCCCTTTCTAGTGAACTAGAACTACAGGTGCAGCCCGAAGATATTCGAAGAGTTCGTCGGCTTATGAATGGACAGCAAGAAGTGCTGGTTAAATGGCACAATTTACCTGAATTTGAAAATTCCTGGGAAGGTGCAGACCTGATTTGCAAGCAATTTCCAGCATTTCCCCTTGAGGACAAGGTGAAACTTTTAGGGGAAGGTAATGATAGAGCCCCTCATTATTTTACTAAGACTTATCAAAGGAAGTCAAAGGGGAAGAATGACTCTAGTAGAATAATGGTAACTGGTCCAGAGGTTTATCCTTCGGTCTCTAGCCGTAAGGAACAGTAGCGTGGGATCTTTGACCATAACTAAGATCTTTTGGGAGGTATGGGCTAGGGGGGAAGCCATGCTGTCCATGCTGTGGGTATATTTTATCTTTTTGCTTGTATTGTGGGGATATCCAAAAAGGGAGAGGAAGAGAAGGGAGAGGAGAGACTGGCCTCTCGAATGCCAGAAGGAGTGAACCCTCTTGTGAGGTTTGAGCTTGTAATGTTGTTACTTTTGTGATCATTCAGGGGAGATAGGGTTTTGGCCAGAATCAGAGGCAGACTTGTAACTTTGATTCGGTTTCTCTCAATTTATTAATATCAAAACCTCAGCATTTTCCCCTCATTTATTGTTATCAGTGTCTTTATTGTTGTTTCTGTGGAGATATTGGTTCGGGTCTTATTAGAAATCATCCATGGATACAATGACCACTTCTTTATGTCTCGTGAAAATCATATTTTATCGCAGTTGAGGATCCAAATATGTAAAGTTCCATTTAGAAAAGTTTAAAAAAGAGGCATAAAAAAAAAAATACTGTTTCCAACCTCAAAAAATTAGAATACCTTCTTGAGAATAACCACAATATTGATGTCATTTTGGCTATTTATGCTGTGTTTTTCATCAATGGATAGGGTTCACATACTCCACTTCCCCCAATAAATTACAACATTCTAAACAGTGAATAAAATGAACCCAAAAAGAAAATAATACGTGTATTCTTCTTTGAGAAACTGATAACAAAAGACCAGTGCTATAGTAATAAACATGATATCATCGTTTATCCCCCTCTATCCCTCTCTTGCCCTTCTCTGTTCCTGGTACCCATACAAGACCTGATAGAACTCATTTTCCAAATACATACCAGCTTATTTAGACCAAGGCTTGGTTTGGAATTGGATGGAGAGAAAAGTAAGAATAAAATAAGGAGGAGAGAAAACTAGGAGGAGAAATTTCCAAAAATAGTAAATTTCTTTACTATTTTTAGGAGTTTTCTCTTACAGTTTTCTGTCCTCTATTTTTCTCTCCATCTAAAAAATAGGTAATTGTAGATTACCTTTGCACAAAGCATATGAAATAGTATAAACATAGGTAGAAGTACACGACCCACTGCAGCAACTCCAATACAAGGAAGCATCATCAATTGTTTGATTTCCGAGCCAGCTCCCGCGCCATCTCCCTAAGCTCCTCAGGTGATGGTGGCCTTGGTGCCTCCGGTGGATATACAACATACAACCGCTGCAACATCAAAATAAGTAACTGTAAACAAAACAGTTGGCAGAACCCCAGCCATCCTCAGAATAGGAATTTATCATTTAAGAATTTTTAACACCATGCAAAGTGAAAATACTCTATTTTTAGTCATGCTCCTCATAGAAAGCAAGTAGGTCATGATATTAATTAACAGGCACGTAAATATGTCAAAAGTTTTCTAGCAGGCTCATCTTTCACATATTGATAAGCCATTTCAGAATAAGTTTGCCTAAAATATCTTGTGCATATTGAGCATACAGCAGAATCTCTTGTGCAAAGAAAGTATCAGCTATTAAAGCTTCCACTTGTTCAAATACAAATAAAAATGTCTGATGGAACATTTTGATCTGTTTTGGAAATCCATAAACAGTATGCACTATTATAAAAATCTTAACCCAAATGGTCTTCGTAAAATAATAGATTCCTTGCTATAGATATATCAAAGTAAATGTTCTTAAGCAAGCTATAAACCTCTACCCATACATGCCCCGCGGTCATGTCACAAATAACTAATTGAAGAATCAACAAAGCATTATCCAGTTTCCATTCAATCTTCCACTGGCAAAGCCAGATAATTCTTCATAACAAACAGGTTACAGCACACAATGCATGTATACTTTTCAGAGTGTAACTGCGTTGAAGAGAAACATCCTAGCATACTGTATTGGCATTAATTTAGATGACTGTGAAAGTTCATACGTCATGACTCATTGACACACAAATTAAGAACTTTTATTTTGGCCAGGCAAATTATGAACATTGAAAATAGATGAAAGAAAGTAGACCGACTAAATTCCAAAGATACATTCACAATCAAAAGCCTTCAAAACTGTAATCAACATGGTAAAACTGAATCACTTCACATAGAACCAAAAGCAAGCATTACAATTAACACCATTATGATCCTCCATGAACCAAAAGCAGCTCACTTAATCCAGTGAAGTTTATATCACCATTAAAATTGAAAGCAGAACATTCCATCAATACAATTTTCTTTTTTACCCTACCCTAGAGGGTTTTGGTTTACGAGATCACACTTCTATAAAGAAATCAGTTCAATAATTTCCATGCAAGAGAATCAGCTGAATGAGAGGCTTTGTACTATGAACAGAGAACAAAAGTATTTAATCACAAAAACCTATATCTGCAAATCAGCAGAAATATAAAATTGAACATTTTTTATGTAGAACAGAAAATTACATTTCCCATGAATCTCTGGATGTTCTTCGAATTGTTAGCAAAGCCGTACATAAGAACGATGGGAACAGTCACATAGATCCCAAACTTAGCAATCTCAAGGATTCCTTTCGATGTGCCAAGAGAAGACATCTCAGTGGAAGATAAAACTGGAAAATCGAAAAATCTTCTTCCGTCAGAAATCACCAGTGATGAAAAAGAGCATAAAACTTAAAACCAAAAACTAGGGCTGCACATGGGCAGGGCTGCCGCCCGATACCCTGCCTGAAGGATGAACAGGCTGCATTGCCCAGCCTGCAAGAAGCCTTAACATTTCAGGCTGGGTAGAATGGGCTGGGCACTTTTGGACCACCCTGCGCCCTGCCTATCATTTGTGAAGAAAACTTCAATATATCAAACCTAATAGACATCACTTTAAGAACCAAATATATTAAATAATTCAACCCAAAATAACTTCCATACTTCATAAATCCACATCATAAAAATACTAATCTCTAACTCAAAATATGAAAACTACCATAAGGCTTGGCACAATATCCATGATTCAGTTGGCATTTAAATGACCATAATAGCATAACAGAACCACAAATTAGATTATAAAACAACACAGGAAGTAAGAATATAGGTCCATAAAAATAGAAATATATATAATTGAAATTAAAGGTTCTACTGTAGCCATCAGACCCTTGCAAGAGAGGTGTTGGACATTGAAGAATCTACCTCAAGGCAACTAACTGTCCAATAATAGTACTAACAATAACTTCCAGAGAACAAAAGTAATTGTCCAGTAAGAAAATAAGTACATTGAAGAATACGTGTCTAGTTGTCCAATAATAGCGAGGTGCTTGTCGTCTTCTCTACTGTAAGGCTTAAATTTTTTGTTCAGTTTTTTCCCATGAAACTACGACACGACGACCCTATAAAGGTTTGCAAGAATGTTTTACTAACAATAACTTCCAGAGAAGAGATTTATGAACTACGATCTTACACAAAAAGTAACTGCAGAATTCATACCGGTAGGTGGATACCTGAAAAACCAGGTAAAGAATATGCGGAGGAGGAGGAGAGACGCAGAGTCGAGCGCGAACTGAGAAGGAGACAGAGGCAGATAGGCGCACAGAGAGTCAAAGTCGCAAATGGGAGGGGGAAGAGTGGAGAATGACGGCAAAGGTTGGTTTAAGATTGAGCGACAAATCGATTGATCGACAAAACCAGAGAGAGAGAGGATCACGAGGATGAGACCATGAACACTTAGCGGAGCATGGGAGTGCCACGTATGCGAAGTGAAATGGGCTATGCCACGTTAAGATGGCCCAAAACTATCATTTGGATCATATTAGGTCGCATCTCTGGGTCCAAATACATAGAAAGTCCACTTAGTTGAACCAATAGCCGACAGTTATTAGTTCTGGTGAAAGAAGTTATGATCGCTCAAGCACAAGATATTAAATTTGAGAAGACGTGAATATATAAAACATTTTTGAGAGAGCTACCACTTCTAATTAAGCTTAACAATATTTAAATTGGACTCAATCAGATAACTATATATATATATATATATAATATATATAAAGACAGGCAGACTAGGGATACTATAGGCTCCAAAAAAAAAACAATCATAGGGAAATTACAAAAACCACTTTTTGGAGTTTGCACCAAAGGTAAAAGGAATAAGAGAAATTTAAACAAAGATAAGAAAAAAGAAACCGATTTAATTCTAAAGATCTCCTCACGGGTTTGGATCCTCTCATTTTCCTTTTTCTAATCTTCTTCTCTTCGTTTTATCTCCACCCTTGAATAAAAGATTAAATGGTTCAGATTTAAATTTTTTTGCCAATAAATGTTATTGTTTTATAAAATAATTATCATATAAAAAATAAAAAAATTAATCATTTAATCTGTATAGTTTTGAATCAGTTGTAACTCAATCATTGAATTTTAACTCATTATAAAGTTTTGATTCGATTGTAATTCAATCTTAAGCTTTGACTCTAATAACTCAATCCTTATATTTTTAATTATTTAAATATTCATCTTTATATTTTAAAATATAAAATTATAAAGATTAAAATTATATTAAAATTTACTACCAATACTTTAAGTTATTAAACCGTTTTAATCTTTATAAATATTAGAAGTTTAAGATATTTTTAATTTTTATAATTTTATTTTTAAAATATAAAGACTAATATTTAAATAGTTGAAACTAAATGAACTAAATTATGAGAGGCAAAGTTCAAAAGTTAGGTTACAACCAAATTAAATTTATAAGGATTAAGTTATAACGAATTAAAGTTCAAAAACTGAGTTATAATTGAGTCAAAACCACAATGACTAAATAATTAATTTTTTAAAAAAATAAATAAATTTAAATTGTTAAATAAATAAATTTAAGCTATGAGTTTTGGATGAGGAAATGTAAAAGAAGGGTGGAGGGGCTTGGAGAGCAGGGCCTTTTTTTTCACGGCTTATCAAAACTGACTTCAAAACCCAATTCTCTCAAGCTATTTAAAGGATCAATGATGTTTTAAGCTATTTGACAATCAGTCAATCACAAACAGCTATAGTTGTTGATTGAAATGAAAGATCTAGAAATTCAATCTCAAGTTTTATATGCATCACTTGAGGTATGCTTGGCACATTGGCAAATCAAGTTTCAGCTTGTGTATAGGGAGGGTAATCAGGCAGCCAATTGTTTTGCTAACTTCAGCTTTGAGCAGGATTTTGATATGTGTACATTTGTTGATCCTCTTGCTTTGATACATGATTTACTATACAGGGATTACTTGGGGGTTTATACTCCAAGGGAGATTTTGATTGCGGAATAAAAAAAGCTTTGCCCAAATTTTACCCAAAAAAATAAGAAGAAGAAATGGGACTGTGGAAATGTGTTGTTTTCGACATTTTGTGTGTTTCTGCTATATAAACTACTAGATGATGCTATTTTTTATTGTTAGGATGAGAGTTATTACTATGTTTACTAATATGCTATTTTCCGTGTCCGCATTCAGTGCTCATCACAATGATGAGCATTGAATGCTTATCAAGACCAAGAGCAATCTTAACCCTTTATTTTAACTCATATTAATCCCTGACATTCATTTAAATTAATTTTTAAATATTTTATTTATTAAAATAAAAAATACAAAAAATTTAATATTAAATTTATACTATTTAGAGTACATGTAAATGGCTATTTTATAAAATTTATAAATTTTTAATATTAAATTAGGTCATTTAAATTATATTTAAACTATTCAGAGTCTATCTGGATAGTCAAATTATAAAATTATAAAAAAATTTAATATTAAATTAGATCAGTAGATTAAATATGTACTAGTCAGGTTAGTAATGAACGTATTAATTAAAATTTTAAAATTTTTTATATTAATACATATAATATTTAAAAATTAATTTAAATGGATGGCAAGGATCAACTTTGACTGAAATGGAAGGATAATATTGTTCCTAACCCTAATGAGCATGGAGCACCTAATGTAATTCCTTCTGTTCCCTAGATTATAAGAAAAAATAAAATGGTAAATTTATATTTTTCATTTGGTCATTGAGGAGGTGCAAAATCGTATCATTAATTGTGAAGCTGCTTTGCACTATCACTTGTCCCTAACTCAAACTATAATTGTCAAATCCTCTTGAAACATATGCTTGAGGGTCTTGTGAGGAAAATACTAAAATAGCACTAGACTTTGTACCCCGTTTGAATTTTAATTGAGTATAATAAATTATAAAAATAATTAATTATGTCATAACACAATCTGTTTGAATACTATTTTTCTAAAGTTAATTTTAACAGAATTGAATATGTTTGGATAATTTATTTAAAATTAATTTTAGTTGTATAAATTATCATAAAGGACACTTTGCCTTTCAAAATTAAATTATTGATAAATTTGTATCTAATATTTAAAAGTAAAATATATTATTTAAATTATATATCTGATTAATTATAAAAATTTAAAGTATATTAATATTAAAAATTTTAATTTACATAAATAAATAACTCAAAATATATCCTAATTCAAATAAATTTAATAAAAGAGAAAGATTTTATTCTTAAATACCAAACATTAATTTTACAATAAATAATGAAGATGATAATGTATAAGTTGATCTCTAATGACATCAATAATATAATATCTGATGAATATGTGAAGCATTGCTTAAAAATTTTGGTAACATAAAAATATAACAATATAATAAATGATACAAAATCTTTTTCTCTCTGTGAACTTTTGTAATAATATTTATAATGACCCTCAATTTTAAATTAAATTAAATTAATTTTATAACAAGTGCTTAGTGGAAGGTGATGATTAGCAAGAACTTATACTAGTAACTTTTTTAGGGATTCAAAATTTAAATTTTACTATAAAGAAAAGAGAGAGGAGAGTTTGGTTTTATTTTTATTAAATTTTATTCTTTTTTTATAATTTTTTTGGGGCTTTCTTTGTAATTTTCCTTATATGTCTTTGTAATTTGAATGCAAAAGCTGCCTTTATAGCTTTACAAAAAAAAATAATTTTTTGAAAAAATTACTGTTTGGATAATTAATTGCAAAATCAATTTTTTTCCTCAAAAAATTGATTAATGAGCTGTTCAAACACACACTTTGATGTTTCTAACATTGCAAAAAGCCCCCAAGAATTCAAAGGAAATCAAATTCTTTTACCAGAGTTATTTGTTCCTACTTTGCTGCCAATTCCGGTGATACATTTGCTTTTATTATTCCCCAAAAGTTGCTCTGAAGATGAATCATACACCCAATGGGCAGAACAAATAATAAAAGCCATCGTACGCGAAAATGATAATAATAATAAAAAAGCCATCATCTGCTATGCAGAACAAATTAGGTGAAATTATTTTATAACCAAAGGTTTAAGTGAAATTATCACAAATTAACGTTATGAGAACAGATAATAAAAGCCTATCAAATTCAGTAAATTGATTAAGTGAAATTAAGTATACAATTTTGCCATAAAAAATGCCATTGATATTTGCTAAGAAAAAAAATTAACTTCACAAATCAAGCAAATATTGGAAAAATGTCTTAATAAAAAAAAACTCAAAAATGTATTAAAAGCATACAAATTTGACCCTAGAATTGCTTTTTAAACGCCAAAATTCACTTCCACTTGGCGTAGAACTTTTCATCACCCCACATCAACATTCTTTTCAATGGGATCTCTACATTCCTCTGTGTAAGATGCAAATGTCTTGGGATAATCCTCTTCTCCAGACTAAACCCGAAGTACTGGGGAAACACTTTCAATTCTTCGACACTTCGTTTCATGTGATTCACTAAATACTCATATTTTGGCAACAAATTATTCTCAAGCCCATATCCAAAAATGGCTGGGTATCTCGCACAAACATTAGCTGCTTCCTCATACGATAAACCTATGCTCTGCAGAAATGTAATCTTCTTCCGAAGCTTCTCCACCCGCGTGTTCAACAAATGGGCGGTCAAATTGGTGGGCCTGTTCAAATTCTCAACTCCGATTTGCCGAAGAAAGCGGAGAGATGGCCGAAGACAGAACTCAACATCAGAGAAGAGGATATTAGGGCACCGGAGGATCAAGGCGCACGATTCCTCAACTGAGGCAGGAAGCTCATGGGCTAAGAAATCGAAAACGGGAGCAATGTCAGTGTATTGGAAGGTGTCGGAGAAGAGCTGAGGGCAGAGGAAGGCGAGCCTGGGGAAATCGGCATCGGAGAAGCCCCTGGATTTGAGGAAATTGACGGTGACCAGAATGTGATCGACGGCATCAGGAAGAGGGAGGCTGTTGGGTTTGGTTTGGGGGTCAATGACACGGAGAATTTTGAGGTAACGGAGGTTTTCACGGTAGGTTGTGCGGAACTTAAGGTAATAAGCGGTGGATTTAGGGTTAGGGTTGGCAGAAAGGGAGTGAGAGCGAGAAGGAAGAGAACGAGAAGGAACCGAAAGAGAATGAAGCATTTTCTGGGTTCAGCACGCAATAGTGTAAGTGGAAGAGAAGTGGATAATGATAAGTTTATAATCAGAATAGAGGAATTGTTATAATCTCATCACAAAAGGGATGATTGGCACCAGAATCTCAGGACACAAGATATGAAGCACATGTAGTGAATCTGAATAAAGTCTAATTTTAACAAAAATGGGATCAAGCTTCAAAACACTAAACTCAAAATCTTGAACTAGCACCGGACTCATCCACCAAACAGGAATAGAAGAAGAAGAGATAGGAAGGAAGATAGAAGATGAACGACGGAGGAAAGGGAAGACGTCACTGAACAACGATAAACCACTGAACGGGAACGATGAAGAAAACGATTTGAAAACGGAATAGATTGATTGGATAAGGGGCAATAGATTGAAAGGCGATTGTGGCAGCGTCAGCCGAGGGCTTCGGGAGATTTTTTTTCTTCGGAAAACACTATTCATCATTGTAGCTCGAGTTTTGTTGCAGATTTTTGTTATTATTATTATTTTTTTTACAGTTAAATTTGTTATCGTGTATACTAATAAAAAAAACTGACTGGAGTTAAGAAAAAAAAAAAGCTCCCAACTTACAATATTTATAAAATATTTTAATTTTAATTTTAATTTTAGTAGACATTTAAAATGCATTTTAATCTTGATATTATACCTTAGAATTCACAAAAAAATTTAAAAAATATTAAATCTTTTCTATTATTTAAGTACATCAAAAGCATATGTTATATTCTTTATACTATAAAAATAATTAATTTTAAAATAAAAATTAATTTATAGGGATCAAAAATAATTTTTTTTATTTTTTTAATTGAAACTCATGATTGTCCGCCACATCCTCACTTTTTTAGGGGAATTTATAGCCTTTTCACTCTTATTATAAAATGCAAATGGGTTTCAAAAGTTATGTCCGCATTTGGTGCTCATCACTTGTAATGAGCAGAGTGTGCTTATCAAACGTGGCTTCATCTGAGCCTTTCATTTCACTTTAAAATGATCTGTACTGTTCATTTAAATTAATTCTTAAGTATTTTTAAATATTGTCTTTATTAGTATAAAAATTATAAAAAAAATTTAATATTAAATCTAGACTATATATAACATATTTAAATAGTTAATTTATAAAATTTTAAATTTTTAATATTAAATTAGGTCATTCAGATTATATCGAAACTATCCAGTATATCTTTGGATAGTCGAATTATAAAATTATAAAAAAAACTTTAAATTTGATCATCTAGATAATTTGCACTAAAAAAATTGATAATGAACATATTTATTACAAATATTTATACTTTTTATAATTTTTTTATAAATGTAAAATAAAAAAAATCTTAAAATTTAGATCCAATCTTGTCAAAGGTGAAATAGTATTCATTTCAATTAGATTTAATATTAAATTTTTTACAATTTTTATATTAATAAACATAATATTTAAAAATTAATTTAAATAAACGGCAAAAATCATTTCAAAATAAAATAAAAAGGTCAGATGAAACCATACCCAATGAGTGTGCTGTGCTCATCACAAGATATGAGCACCAAGAAATGCATTCAGTGCTCACCACACACTCATCACTTTATGGGATGATCTGTCCCTTCATTTCTCTTCAAATGATCCCTTCCATTAATTTAAAATTATTTTTTAAATATTTTAATACTATATTTATAAAAATAAAATACATAAAAATTATAATATTAAATATGGACTTTTTTTATGTTATTAGAGAATAAATATCATAATACTCATTACCCCTGATAAGATCCAGGTCGTCCAATTTTAAGCATTTTACTTTTACTTTATATTTATTAAAATAAAAATATGTAAAAAACATAGAAGCCTTTAATAAATTTAATTATTATCAATCTAGCCAGTACAAATTTAATCTAGATGACCCATTTTAATATTATTTTTTCATAATTTTTATAAATTGACTATCAAATGTATTATGGACAGTATAAATATAATTTGAAATGTTCAATTTAATATTAAAAATTTTGTAATTTTAATTACTTCCTCATCTAGATATACTCTAAATAATTCATATTTAATATTATAACTTTTTATAATTTTTATTTTCATAAATTTAATATAAAAATATTTTAAACATAATTTTAAACCAATAACAAATATCATTTAAAAAAAAAGGAAGGCCTCAGATAACTTCCATAAGGGTAGTGCTCATCAGCCGCAGTCCCATGAGCACCAAATGCATTCATCCAAAAGATTGGGAAGTTTTTTCCTCCAAAATTTGTGGGACTTATTTTTGATTAAGTCTTTTACATGGGACCCAAACATAATTTTTCTATCTAAATTAATTTGAGTGGTTGAGGTGGTTAGGAATGGTGCAAAACGAAAGCGATGATCCAAGCCCAACATATAAACCCATCTTGATTGGTTGGGGCCTATCGGACACACTCAAGAATCAAGGCTCATATCAAATACTACATTATTTACCAAAAAAAAAAAGATGAATTCAAATATGGAGATGATCTCATCTTTTAGGGATTTGATTAACATAAATCATCAATATATAATAGACATATTTAATGCTTTGGTTATAGGTTTTCTGATTTTCTTGCCTTTTTTTTTAATTATTTGCTTCTTTTGAGTGATTTGATTATAAAGGATATTTTTAGAATATTAATATAGAATACTTTGGAACTTCTTATTGTTTTACTTAGAAAGTTACCCTACTTCTGGAGTTTCTTGAGAGATTGAGCTTCCCATTTTTCATGAGCTCCTAATTAAATGATTGCTTTTAAATAAGATTAAATTTATATATTTTATATTTCTAATAAAAAATTAGAAATAAATATTTTCTACCAATGTTGTCCATATGCATATATGTTTTCCACACTGAATCTGTGCCTGTGTTGATCTGTGAATACTATTAAGCAGCAATAAAATATATGATAACACACAAATTATTTCAAACTGAAGTAACGTATGTGAATAATATAATATATTTAAAGTTATTTTGTACTTAATAACAAATGGTTATATTATACTTTCTCCGGTCCTATTTATAAGTCATATCTACTAACTTCACTAATACCAATACAACAATAGTATAAAGAATAATTATAAATGAAATTCTAAAACTAATCCTCAAATAAAAAACCAAAAAGTAATTTAAACAATATAATATTATTTTTTAAGTAATTCTCTCTCATACTTTTACAGAAAAGTTGATTAGTGACAGTAAAAAAAAGTCTATCAACTTTACTTACACTTACTAACAGGAAGGCCAAAATGAATTGAGGGGCAATTTTTGAGAAGATACATCCTTCTAAAAAGGAGAGAAAAAATAGACAAAAGAAAAGAAATAAAAATGCACGGGACTACCAATTGCTTTAGCCTTCTACCATGGAATATTGTTGCATATCTTTTGATTTAAATGCTCCAGCTGAAGAAGATAGTGGGGACAACAACAATATTTTCTTGAACTTAAATGCTCCTTCCATATGTGAGAATGTCTACCTAGATAACAATTAAAGTGAAAATCAACGTGCAATTAATGAATAAAGAAATGGTAAATATATCTATCTTTATAAAACTTATAATATCCTCATATAAATTTTAACTCTCTAGTATTTATATTCAATTCCTAAGAAGAATAAATGTACGCCATAGAGTTGATACGGCCATCTAATTTAGATTGTAAACATACTATGAGGACGTGACAATGCATGTTTGAACAAATAACATAATCTTCTTTAGAAAGGAGAACTTGTCTCTAGACAAATGAAAGACCTTTGACTTAGTTTTCACCAAGAAAAAAAAAGAAAAGAGAAATTTACAAAATGAAACATGGACTCAACATTAATGTGGACAATTAAATCTTCATAACAATAGAACGTGACTAGCCAACGCATGAGTTTTTAACAATTGCAACTGTCATTTGTGATTTTTATATATTTCTACTTAGTTTGAAACTTCTTCTTCTGTGTCTTTGTGTGTGTTCAAAAATATTTTACATTTTTTAATGGAGAGAGTATGATATAAACAGAATTCGAAATTACAAAAGAAATGTAATAAGAAATGAATAAATTTGGATTTGAAACTTAAAATTTTGCACATCCAAACAAGAGATTTGATTCAATCCAAATTCTTGTTAACTTAAACACACTATAGGGAAAATATTGTCTTTCTAGTCCTTTTTATATTATTATTAAATAGTTATAACTATAATATATTATAGTTATAGTTATAAGGAGGGGATGGGAAGAGAGAACAATTACCCTGCACCCATGCACACAACGGAAGGAGGGAGGGAGAGAAGAAGAGAAGTACATGGGAAGAGGAGGGCAGGCGTTAGCTTGCTATGCTACAGTTGCGAGACCAACATTTTCTTTATATATATATATATATATATATATGTTATATGTATATATTAAAAGTATAGAACTTGGCTTGAAACCGAGTTTAGTACTTCTATATTAATTTTTTTTTTGAATTAAAAGGCCATGGTAAAACCATGTAAAAGATTAAGGTTTAGTCATATCTAAAATCATAAGATTTCGACAATCATGCGATGATTCATCAAAAATCATAATATTAAAAGTATCATACAGAAGTCGGTGAGTTAAGAGATCAATACATCTGTTAGCTTTTTTATGAACATAGTCAAATGTGACTATCCAATCTCTCATAATAAAATTTTTAATCTTCCTAATAGTGTCAGAATAATATTAAAATTTTTTTGAAACTAGTATGCATCAAACCAAAATCTAAATTTATAGCATTTGAGAAAATATTTTTAAAAGTGTAGCATATAAGTAAATACATTTTTTTTTGGTAGCACTGCAGTCAATCTGCCCTTGTTAGAATTTTTAGCATCCTAGTGAGATCTCCTCAAAAGCATATGTATTTACTATTTAACATGCAAATTTTGATTATTATATCGCTTAATATTTGTGATTCATTCCCAAAGAATTGGGTTATTGAATTGTTATCATTTGTTCACGCACATGAATACATGTTTTCTTTCCTTTAATGCTTTCCACTTCTTTTTCTGTCCATCCGCATAAAAAAAATTCCAAAAGTCACGGCATGTATGAGTGAAGCCTGGTTCTCCCATTCGGCGAGTTGATATCTGTGTCTTTTTTGGCCAAACACAATTTCTCAGTTACCTTGGCCATTTGAATTCCTGCATGATTTTTTTTGTTTTGTTTTGGGGTATGTTTGTGTTGCAGGCGTGGAATTGCCTTCTTTTATAACTGTGGTACTGTTTCAAGAGATCATTCGCATAATCCATCCCCCTCCAATAAATTACAACATTCTAAACAGTGAGAAACTGATAATAAAAGACCAGTGTTATAATAATAAAACATGATAACATTGTTCATCCCTCTCCTGTTCTTCTCTGTTCCTGGTACCACACACGCCCTAACAGAACTCATTTTCCAAATACATACCATCTTATTTAGATTAATTGTACATCATCATTGCACATAGCATGCTAAGAAGTATAAACATAGGCAGGTGTACACAACTGCTGCAGCAATTTCCAATCCAAGGAAGCATCACCGATCGTTTGATTTTCGAGCCAACTCCCGCGCCATCTCCCTAAGCTCCTCTGGCGATGGCGGTCTTGGTGCCTCCGGTGGATATACAACATACGACCGCTGCAACATCAAAAGAAGTGACTCTAAACAAAACTGTTGACAGAACCCCAGCCATGCTGAGTAGGAATTTATCATTAAAAATTTTTAACACCATGCAAAGTGAAAATACTCTATTTTTAGTCATGCTCCTCATAAAAAGCAAGTAAGCCATGACATTCATTAATAGGTATTTAAATATGTTAAAGTTTTCAATCAGACTAACCTTTCACATATTGATAAGCCAATATTTCAACAAGCTTTGCCTAAAATGTCTTATGAATATTGAGCATACAGAAGAATCTCTCGTGCAAAGAAAGTATCAGCTAGTGAAGCCTCTACTTGATCAAATACAAATAAAAATGCCCAATGGAACATTTTGATCTGTTTTGGAAGTCCACAAACAGTATGCACTATTATAGAAAGCTTAACCTTAATGGTTTTCATAAAATAATGCATTCCCAGCTATAGACGTTTCAAGTAAATGTCCTTAAGCAAGCTCTGAACTTCTAACCATACATGTCCTGCCGTCGTATCACGAATAACTAACTGGAGAATGAACAAAGCATTATCCACTTTCCACTCAATCATCAGCTGGCAAAGCAAATAATTCTTTCGTAACAAACAGGTTACAACATACAATACATATATTCAATACATAGGGCAATTGTGTTGAAGAAAACATACCGAGTACACTGTATTGGCATTAATTTAGATGGCTGTGAAAGTTTATACATCATGACTCATTGATACACAAGTTATGAACATTGAAAACAGGTGAGAAAGGAAATCGACTTCATTCCAAAGATCCGTTCTCAATCATAAGCCTTCAAAACTCCAAAAGAATAAAGAACATGTAACTAATATGGTAAAACTGAATCAATTCACAATGCCTCTGTCCACTAAATTATTCAAAAGACCATGTATGTTAGTTTTCAGGACCCCATGGTGAAGGAAACCTTTCATGACAAATCAAGCATTATAATTAACACCACTCTAATCCTCCATGAACCAAAAGCAGCTCACTTAATCAAGTGAAGTTTATATCTTCATTAACATGGAATGCATAACATCCCATAAATATACAATTCTCTACTTTACCCTACCCTAGGAAATCAGTTCAATAATTTCCACGTAAGAGAACCAGTTGAATAAGGGGCCTTGTACTCTGAACAAGGGAGCAGAGAACAAAATTATTTAATCACAAAAACCTATACTTGAAAATCAAAAGAAATATAAAACTGAACATTTTTTTAATACGAAGGGGTAGGAGAAAATTACATTTCCCATGAATCTCTGGATGTTCTTCGAATTGTTGGCAAAAAAGTACAAAAGAACGATGGGAACAGTCACGTAGATTCCAAACTTAGCAATCTCAAGGATTCCCTTCGATGTGCCAAGAGAAGACATCTTGATGGAAGATAGAACTGGAAAATCGAAAAATCTTCCGTCAGAAATCACCAGTGAAGAAAAAGAGCGTAAAACACAAAACCTAAAACCGTCGCCCTCGCCTCTTCAGTCCTCAGCTTCACTCTTCAGTCGACAGTCGCCTCCTTTTCTCCTCAGTCCCCACAAGTCCCCTCGCCTCTGACCAAATCGGAAACCCAGAACATCGCGAGAGGGAAGGGATTCAGAAGTCAGAGAGAAGGAATTAATGAATCCGGTTGATGTAGAAGAAAGAAATCAATTGAAATCTACAAAACCCAAGAGAATCTTGAAGAACAAGAAGACAAAATCGACGAAATCTAGTAAGTACCCTTGCAGTCAGAGAGATCGCTCGTGACGCCGCAATGGCGGCTGAGCAGTGGCGTTACTGCCGAAAGTTTCAAGCAAATCGGGGGTGGCGTACAGATTGCAGAGGCAAGCTAGCTGAGTGGCGATAATTTCTTTGATCGAAGTACAGCAGGAGTTGGTCGGCGTCGCGGCCGAGTCAATGGAGTCCAAGCATGGGATCAGCTTCTGCGCACAAGATGGCGATAATTTCTCCTAGTCTGTGTAACGAAATTTCCTTCACCGCATTTCGATCGCCCGTTTTGTTTTGAAAAAATTAATTTTTTATTCTTTAACTTTTAATTTATTTAAAATTTACCATAACTTAATCCTTTAATCACAACTCAATACAATTTAATCTTTCAATTTTCAATTCAATTATAATTTAATTTTTATTTTTTAAATATTTTTTAAATAAAAAAATAAAATAAATATATATTTTATTTTAAAATACTCTTATTTTATCCTTTGATATTAAATTTAAGTTAATATAAAAAATTTATAAAAAATAAAAAATTAAATTACAAATATATTAAAAATTAAAATATTAAATTATAAATAAATTAAAAATTAAGATATTAGATGACGGTAAGGAATTGATAAGTAAATTAAAAATTAAATAATTAAAAAATTAATTTTTCGTGTATTCCTTATACGTGCGTGTTTATACACTGCGACCCCACCAATTTACTTCTGGGCTTATTCTAACCCGCCAATAAGCGAGTTTCTCCAACCTGCATTCACGGCCCCTGGCTGGCCAACGTGCAAGTCATGGGATGGCTCGTATTATGGCTCTAGATGAATGTGTAGTAGGGGATGACCGCGTGAGAGTGCCACATGGGCCAAGCCATGTTAGCATGGCCCAAAACTATCATCTGGATCATATTTGGTCACATCTCATTCTCAGGGTCCAAATATGTAAAAGTCCATATACTATATAAAAAAGTTTAAACTTGAAGAACAATTAAATAGTGAGGAAAAAAAATTAATATTAATATTATGATATCATTTGGACCAACTCACCTAACTGGATGCTAAGTTCAACTTGTAAGAAAATTTTACTCTCTTAACTAAGAGCCTGTTTGTTTTTTGTTTTTAAAAATGTAAAAATTTATTTAGATAAGTGTTTTTCATTTAGTTATTTCAAAATTGTTTTCATTTTTTTAAAATAAAAAAATAGAAATAACTTTAAATTTATTTTTATTTTATTTTTCTTATTTTTAAAATACACTATATTTGATTATTAAAAATTATAATTACCTTGATTAATTTTTATTATTAATTATCATCATTAATTGCCTGTAACTATTATTATTAATCTATTTTTTTAATTCTAATATAACTACTTTTACTTGATATAACCAAACATATTTTCATTTTATTTTGTTTAAAAATAAATTTAAAAACTGAACTACAAAATAGTTTTTTAAAACAAAAAAATGAGAATAGAAACCAAACAAATCCTAAATATCTCAAATTTAAATCTTGAAAATGCATATGTAATCCAGGCTCTCGATAAATCTGACTTATAATATCATATGGTATCCCAAACCAAAAAAAAAAAGAATAATAGGGTAATTAGAAAAATTACTTTTTGGAGTTTGCACCAAAGGTGACAGGAATGAGAGAAATTTCAAAATAAAAAAGAAGACAAGAACAAGTTCCCAAGATTTGCTCACAATCATAACTCTTGAGCCTTTAAAAACCAATTTTATTGGGAAAAAAAATTCTCTTGTATTTTGTTTACATTATCTTTTTTTTTTTTGGCCAAGAATTTCAAGGGATCTTTTTTTCCACTTTCACCCCTCCATTCTAAGTCTTTAACCCAAATTAATCCAATTCATAGTTTGTGGACATCTCTTCAAACCTATACCTCCTATCAGAAATTTTATCCTTGTTGCATACTAGCTGGATTAAATTCTTAGTTAGAATTTAAAACTTTTAACAAATTATCGATTAGATTAGCTTGGGTCAAATATCTAGAACATTGGCGTGAAATAAAAAAGACCAAAAAAAGATCTCTTAAAATTCTTTGCAAAAAAAAAAAAAAGACAATCTAATAAATACAAAAGAGTTTTTTTTTTGGGTAAAACAAAAGAATTTTTGGGCCAATCAAAATTATTTTTGTATTTTGTGGTTGTCAAAGATAGGACCCGGGCAAAAAAGAAAGTCATGTTCCCAACCCAAAATATGACCCATCTTTATAGGTCTGGGCCTAACGAACACACCCATGGCATATCTCTAATGAAATACCAAATTGTTTACAAGTTTTTTTTTTCCCCAAATATGAAGAAGACCTATTTTGAAAATATCACCACTTTATTAAAATCACTTTTTTTTCATAGGAGAATATTTTGTAAACTTTTATGATACTTATTTAAATATTTTATAATAATCATAATATAAAAAAATAATTTGACATCATAGATAAGAAAGAATATTTTAAAAAAATAGAATATAATAAAAACATTATGAAATTTTAAAATAATTTAATAATCAAATATTTTTATAAAATGTAATTATTTTAAGAGAAATAATTTTTAATATTGATGAAGTTACTCCTTATTCTAACAAAAAAAATATCATAAAATTTAAAAATAATTAATTACTAATAAATTTTTAAACTATCTACTTTTTTATAAAAATTTTAAACTATCTAAAGATGAATTATTTTTCAATGTTAACCAAACCTTTAATATTTGTTATTTTATACTTCATTTATTAAAAATATAAAATATTTTTAATTATATCTCACCCCTTAATAAAATAAGTAGTTATCTTTAAATTAATATTATTTTTCACATTTATGTGATATTTTATTTTAAAATAAATATAAAATAATTTATTTATTATAAATACTTCTAAAAATAACATATTTTATATTTTTTAATATCCAAACCTAAAAAATTAGTTAAAGGTAGGATTATTTATTTAAAGTTTCTATTATTTTATTATATCAACCCAAAATTTAAGTGCATGGTGATGTGGTGATAGTTGCGTGCGATTGAAGCGATAACCTTAAAAAGATTGTAAATGTACCACGCATTGACATGTCTTACGTACTTATTCCCGTTGATGAGACTGAAGATCAGACGAGAGTAGTGGAAAACTGATTCTTTAGTTCCCCTGAATGATCATATCACGAAATTTTAGGATTTTAATGGTGGACGATCTACGCAGAAAAGAGTTTCCCTTTCTCAAGAATCAGGAGTTCCAGACTTCGAAGCGCCAACAACCTTTAAATTTATAAGATCGCCGATGAATTGCGAAGGCCCAGTGAATCGCAGAAGATCCTGCAAGAAACCAAAATTGATGGAGGAAATGGCAATCCCTTCGATTGAGGCAGTAGTGGACGTTGAAGATTTCAATCATTCACCCATCTGGAATGAGGGCACAAGCAAATCCAATGCAATCTGCGTCGAGCAATACACCCACGACCTCCACGTGGACCTGGACCTCGCGATCATGGCTTCTCTAGGCACACCAACGCCTGCCACGAAAATCTTCATCGACCTTTCCGATGGTGATGACGATGACGAGGTTAGAATTCTCAGGTTTAAACCTAAGAGCACCCCTTTCAGGGAACGAAGGAGGTCAACGGCTCCTGCTGTTTTCACTGTCGAAACAGGGGAATCTTCCAATTCTGTTCAATTTGTTTGCGAAATCTGTACTGAAAGCGTGACTGGAAACGAGTCGTTTAACATCAGTGGCTGCTCTCACGCTTATTGCAGAGGCTGTGTGATTAGGTATGTGGAATCTAAGCTACAAGAAAATATTGTGAACATTAGATGTCCAGTGACAGGGTGTGTTGGATTGTTGGAGCCCGAGGATTGCCGCGGGATTCTTCCTCCGGAAGTGTACAATATGTGGGGCAATGCCTTGTGTGAGGCTGTCATACTCGCGGAAGAGAAGTTTTACTGCCCATATAAGGACTGTTCTGCGCTACTGATTGATGATGGAGGAGAAAGGACCATCACAGAGTCGGAGTGTCCCAACTGTAGGAGACTCTTTTGTGCGCAGTGTAAGGTGCCGTGGCATTCAGGAATTGATTGCGCTGGGTTTCAGGAACTGAGCAAGGACGAGAGAGAGAAGGAAGATATTATGCTGATGCAACTCGCTCGGAACCGTAAGTGGAGGAGGTGTCCCAAATGTAGGTTCTTCGTCGAAAAGTCTAATGGTTGTATGTATATGAAATGCAGGTTAGCTTTTCGTCTCAAGTAATTAACCTTGTTTCTTTTCTCCGCGGAAGTATATTGTTCAATTCAACTCTTGTAGTACTACAGTTGGTGCAAATGAATAATGCAGGTTTCATATGAATTTTATATTCTTGAGGTTTGAAAACACTGCTCTAAATTTTTTATGGAACATATGTTGCATATCAAGATGTGCAGATCTCTTTCCATATCCATATGGGGCGAGAGATCAAAGCAATCTTTAAATTTAAATGTATAATGATCTACTTAGAAGCTGGATCTATTTTAAAGTGATAAACAGGGAAATAAGGCTTTATTCCATTATAATTTTGATGCGACCTCATATGCTTGTCAGAATTTTTAGCATCGTAGTGAGATCTCCTCAAAAGTATATGTATTAAACATGCAAAGTTAGATTATTATTTACCTTATTGCTTTATATTTGTGGTTCATTCCAAGAGAATTGGGTTATTGAGTTGGTATTGTTTGTTCACGCCCATGAATACATGTTTCCTTTCCTTTCCACCTCTTTTTCTGTCCGTCCACATATAAAATTTCCAAAAGCTTCATGTGTATGAGTGGAGCCTGGTTGTCCAATTTGGCGGGTTGATATCAGTGTTTCATAACATTTCTCTGTCTTTTTTGGCAAGACCCAATTTCTCAGTTACCTTTGGCATATGAATTCCTGTATGATTTTTTTTTTTTTTAATGTTTGTGTTGCAGGTGTGGAATTGCCTTCTGTTATAATTGTGGTACTCTTTCAAGAGATCATTCCCATCATTGCTATAATTGTAGACGCTGATAACGACATTTGGAGTATATATACGCTCATATTCTATGATTTTGCCCACTAGAAGTTCATGTCTAAATATAGAAGACTACTAGTTCACTACCTCCTCTCCTATCCTCCATGATGGGAATTTATGTCTATTTTGAGAACAAAATAGCTACTTGGTAACCATTGAAGTGATGTTATTGAATATTGTGGCTACAATTTATAACTTATTTCCTTCTATACTTTGTGCAGTCCCTAGGATGGTTTCTCCTCGACTTATATTAATTATGATATAGATATGTGGTTGCTTTCAAGGGTGTTTGCCTTTGATCTAATTCTATTCAAAGTTTCAACTATTAATCACTAGCAAAAAAAGAGTCATTTAAACTGCCTTTTTAGACCGGTTGTTGCAGAACTGGTTTTAAAAACAAGTGCGATGGCATTTTTATAAATATTGAGCATGAGCAGAATAACGTGCTTCCACCTTCAAGATGCCATCCTGCCATCTCTAGTGTTCAAGCCGAAGCTTGTCCATGCTTGTGTGCTTGCAAACTCGAAGGCTAGAGCTTCTTCGTGCTTGCTTGCTCATATCTCCTCCATGTCACACCGTGACTGGCTCATTGTCTAGAGCTCTTGTCAAGCCGTCTCTTCTCTCTGCTTCCTCAACAAGTGGGTTGTTGTTCCAGATTCGTTCCAGAATCAAGATTGAAAACATTCATCTCCAAGCATTCCTCACCATTGCTCAGTCTACCAGATTCTTCACATCATGGTTTGTATTTTTCTTTCTTTGCTGTATTTTGCATAAAACCTTGACTACAAATCATGTAATTTGATCAGAATTAGGTTCCTTGGGAAAAAGAAAAAAGAAATGAAGAAGGAAATTCGGATGTAATGTGTGATTTTTGTTCTTTCTGGAAATAATCGTGTCTTATAATTTTGGGATGAAATGGAGGATTTGATGCTTTCAGTTCCATCGTTGGCTTGATCTGCATGCAATAGTTCTAGGGTTAAAGTAGTGTAAGATTTTAAATTAACATTTACTCCCATGAATGCTTTATTTGTAATGTGTTGCCGGCACCTGCCAAATTCTTAAATTAAGAGGCAACTGCAGTTCTTTGTTTGTTTTGGTTGTATTGAATTTTAACCAAACCCATTCATGGGAGTAAATGTTAATCGGAGTTGATTTGTTTCTGTTAGATAAGTAATTTTTTTTTAATAATCTTTCCTGTCTTCAAACTGTTTGTGCCATGTAGTGTGTTAGATAAGTCAAATTTTCATATAACTTTTCCTCTGTGTTTGTGAGCCAAACAGGGGATCCTCTTTATATTTTCCCTCCTATCAAACTGTACAAGCTATCTTTGAAGTTTACACACGTCATTGAGCTGTAGCTTTTCTGGCTTCAAAATTGCAGGTAGTATAATTGCTAGAAGAAGTTTTGAGTTTCGGAAGACACGTGTGGTGAGGCCCAAAGGAAAACACCAAGCTACTATCGTTTGGCTGCATGCTCTCTTGGTGATAATAGTTTGAGGTATGGATTATGTATTTACTTTTGTTATATGTCTTCCTCATATTGCCATAACTGTTAGTCATTCATTCACTTTTGCTACCCTTTATCTTCTTCTCGTCCAATGAAAAAAGTAGATTATATTCTTGTTCTTCTTGTGTATTGCCTCGTTCTTCGAATCAAGTACATCACTGGTACTTGAATGATAAAACTTTTGTGAGAAGAATGTGAAGATTTTAGACACGTCGTTCCAAATTTGCGTTTCCATATGTTTAATGATTTGTCTCTTCCTACTCAGATTCTAGATGGAACAAATTCTGTGGGACAGAGTTGTGGAATATGTTGTGAATTGGTATAATCTGATTTTTTTTTAATGGAAATGAAGATAACTATAGCAGAAAAAATAATTACAAGAGAAATCAGAAGTTAACACCTCTCATCATCCCCTACCTCAATAATAGGAGGTAGAGGTTGATCTAAGGCCTCAAAATCATGAGTATATATACAAAGTTCTCAGTTGGGTACCACATGTTTGATTTTAGTTGTATTTCTTCCCTGTACTCTCTAATAATATTTCTTATTTGATGGTGCCTTTTTGTCTCAGTTGGGGACTACTCTCTAATCTTTGTGACTGCACCCAGCCCTGAAAAACTCGAAAACCTTATTGGAATTTGCTTGCAAAGGTTTTCAAGAACTTGAATATAATGTACATATTCTCTCCCATCACTGAGTTACTACTTTCATTATTGCTTCATGACGAGATACTTTTAGTTGCAAATGTTCTGGGGTGGGAACTCAGCAGTTTGTTTAGTATGTGTTTGGTTTTTTGTGATTTGCCAAAAGTTTATTTGATAACAGTTAATTATTGTAATAAAATTTATATTTGAATATATATTTTTTTTAAAAAAATCAGTTTGGTAAATTGAAAATTGTTTTGATTATATATTGTGAAATGTGTTTTTGAATGAACAATTACAAAAAAAAATTGATTTATGATTATTTGTAATTTTTGTAATATATTAGAGAAATGTGATAAAAATTTTAGAGATAAAAGTACAAATTTAATCATAAACTATTTTTCAAGGAATACTAGATAACCTATACTATTGGGTGATGCAAAATAAATTATCAACTATTTAAAACATAGCTTTCGTTAAATTTGATCAAACGGATGTTAATTTTTTTGTGAGGCTCACTCGAATTTCACTCTACCTTCTCCCTTTTTTAAGATCTCATCTACTCTCTCTAACCCTTCATCTTCTCCAAATGTGAATCTTAGAACAAAAACCAAATTTGAAACAGAGACTGGAGTGGTAATGGGTTTCACAACTTTTCAAAAAAGCAGTCAGGAAAAAAAAAAAAACTCAATGAAACAAGATTATATTCCAAGAAGAAGAAAAGATCCAGAAATGAAATAATATGAAATTTAGGATGAATTATAGAGGATTACCATCAGAGAAAGCAAAGCAATGGAGGACTGGGAGTTAGAGTACTGGAACTTGTGATGGCGTTTCAGAATTCGGTGAAGTTGAATTATGAAACTTGTCGAGCAACGCCAACTCTGTAACAGAGACTAGCAGGGAGGTTGTTGTGGGTAAAAGACACAGTTCATTGATGTCCTCCGAGTCATTGCCCGTCAACATAGCTGACTGGTCCAAGATCTTGAAGGGCCATCGCAAGAGAGAGAGAGTGCAGAGTAAGAGGATGGAGGTGATGAGCACGGAGAGATCAGACACTAGATCATACATATATGGATTCTATTCCATAAGTTTTGATTGTTACCTAATTAGATATCAATATCCTCGTGCTCTGTTTTGCTCACACCCTCTTCTTTTTCATTTGTTTGGAAAGAGGAGGATAGTTGAAGGTAAAAAGGAAGATAAGGATGAGAGCAACGAGGAAAGTGGCAGGCAGAGAAGCCATGGACTAGGAGAGTGGGAGGCAGAGAAGATGATATTGTTAAATGAAAATGGGATCCACAGTAAACAAAAAATGTTTGTCTTGATTCAACAGAGGTTGCTGGATGCTATATTTGATGATTTATTTTATATCACCTTATAATATAAATTACCTAATATTTATAAAATAATTTATAATTAAATTTGCACTTTTATCCAAATTTTAAATGACATAAAATTTGATATATTAAATAATAAGAATAAAAAATATAAAATTTGATATATTAAAAAAAATTGTATAATAAATTATTCAATCTATAATGTACAATCATAGAGCATGGAATAAATACTCTAAAAGGGTATTGGCATGCAAGAAAGTCAAAAGTTGGAGCTCAAACTAACAAATGTAAGGGAATAATGATAGTATGGTAAATTTAAAAAACCCAACACTAAAAAGGCAATTTGAAAAGCTCTAATAATGTAAGTTCCAAACTCACTTCTAATGGCTTCTCCAATGTGAACTCAAAAAGTTAATTTGCCTAATCATAAAATTTTCAAATGACCTGTTACATTCCAAAAGTTCTCTTGTCTTTCATTTACTTTATTATGTGGTCTATGTTTGAGGCTACAAAGTGCTTGTAATGTCTTGATAACTTCTAAATCTACAAAGATTCTTAGAGCATAATCCCTCACGTCTGAAATATAAGTAATTTTTAGGATAATCCACATACCAATGAAGTTTTCATTCTCATAAAAATATATAATGTTTTTCATTTTTACTCTTAATTTCAATTGTTAATATATTTTATGATAAGTGAGAGATAAATTTATACAAAAATTTAAGTTCATAAATAAAGAGGTAAAATGAAAAAAAATTATATGTATTAAATTGCTTATATTTTAAACCAACATTAATCGAGGAAAACTGTTTATATTTTCAATCAGAGTGTGTCTTTAGCCTTTTAGGATTTCGGCTTCTAAGTTCTTGCAATTTTTTTTTTTTTGGATCATCGGTGGATACAACTAGAACTGACAACGATATTCTTTTTTTTTTTTTTTATGTTTGAATATGACATCTATCTTCTTGTCTGTTTTCCATCAGTGATATTTCTTGGACGATAACTTTGTATTTGGTGGTGACTTGGATTTTTTTTTTTTTAAGATCCATTAAGCTTTATGTAATAATAAAAAATGGCGACTTTTTTTTATGGGAGGTGATTTAATCTATTTTCAGATTATTGCTAATTCAAAAAATTGTTCCCATTAAAAATGTCATTTTCTAAACCGTTCATATTTAAACCGGTTCCAGAGTCGGTTCAGAAGGCTTTTTTTAACTTTTGAAAAACCTTTTTTTTTTTTTTTACCATTGATTGGATGCCACTTATCCTAACAAAAAAAATTAAAAATAAAAACACGTTGCCAAGCGGGGGAAAATAAAAGACGGGGTGCTTGCCCCACAATTTTTGCTGTTCCTTCGTGATTCTTTAAAAAAATTTGTTAGCAAAATGTGAAAAATATTGTTTTATCCCTTTATATTTTATATGATTTTCAATTCGTCCCATGTATACGTGTTTGGGTTTGTCACTAGAACTATCTTTATTAGAAGAGTTTAGTTTTCGGATATTTTATCGTCATAAAATTGTTTTACGATTTTTCTCCAAAAAAAAAAAACAAACTATGCACTGTTAATTTAAAAAATAATAAAAATACGAAAACAGAATTGTGAGATATAGACATTATATTAGTAATGAAATTTCGTAATGAACATTTATGATGGCATGCAATTTTCAGTGAAAGTGGGTTATTTTCTTGTGACAAGATCGGCACAACGAAAAAAATAAAATCCTTTTGATGTTAATGGTAACTTCACAAGAAATGGTGATATAAAAATTTATGTCCATCCTACGGCTTAGTGATATAAAAATTTTAAAATAAAAGTATATTTTTACATTTAAACTATTCTTTAAAGGGCATTCAATAAAACTATCTGTTGTAGCATTTTTATTTTTAAAATAATTAAAATGTAGAATTTTTTACATTGATATTAAGTAGCCACAATCGTCCGTTAATTAAATACTCATGAAAAAAAAGTGGCGCACAAGGCAATGACTAAAGAATGTTTGTGGCTACTTGATGTTAGAATGAAATGCTACATTTTAATTATTTTAAAAGTAAAAACCTTGTGACAAATAATTTAGAACATAATAAGAATTGTAATACCTTAGGCAAAAGGAGAATTATAACTAGGTCTCACATAAAAAAATTAATTACTGTAAAATTTATTAACAATTAAATTAAATTGCATTGATAACACAATTAATTATCAATACAGTTTAGGTCAGTTGTCAATAAATTTTATAATAATTAATTTTTTTATATAAGATTTTAATGTAATTCTTCCTTGGGCAAAAGTCTTAGTTTCCAAAACGTCTTCCACACAATTTGGAGTAAATGCCAAATAAGAGTTTTTTGTGGCATTAATTACATTTAAGCACTCTGAGACTTCACAATAGTTTGTAAACTTTAGTGGGACTTCAGGGTATTTTGTGTTGTTGGGTGGGACTTTGGTCTTAATTTCCGTTTATAAAAGTTTAACCAATAGATAATATTTTATATTTTTACTAACACTACATGTAAAAGTTTAAACTAAAGCTTGGTTTAGCTAGTAAAAGAATTGTATTTTCTTAATTAAAGATACTGAGTTGAATTCTAAAAATATAATTGCGTTAATTAATAGTAGAGCATCTACTCAAAAGAGTTTTATCCCAACTCGATTCAAATAAATTTGGGCACATATTAAATCCTTTCAGCTCGATGTGGGAGAAAACTTACATATTTAACTTTATATACTTAAAGTATTTGTATTTAATTATATCAAAACATGTGTATCATTTTTAAATTATTTATTCTATAATAAATTTATATTATTAATGTTATTAACATATTAAAATTCACTTGTTTTAAATTAATTGGATTCAAATATATTAAATATATAATGTTAAATACATAAGTCTTGCTCATAGAGAAATTAGGGAAAAAAAAAACTTTTTGAAGTTTGCACCTAGAGTAAAAGGAATGAGAGAAATTAGAAAAAAAAAAGGATGAGAAAAAGGAAATTGATTTTTTTTTTGGTAAGCATAAAGATTAACAAGCTTTGTCCATAGTAAAAAATATCTTTCCTAAAGTTTTAAGAGCAATGAATAGACTCATACTAATTAAATTTTTATATATATGAGAATTATGATTCAAATTTTTAATAACTTATTTAAGTGACAAAAATCTTTATCACTCATGTTAACTTTAATAGGAAATAAACTGATTTACTTCCAAAGATATGTTTACAGTTTTAAGACAAACTCTTGAGCCTTCATCAATCAATTTTATTGGCCAAAAAATTCTGCTGTATTTATTTACACTATATATATATATTTTTTTTTTTGACCAAGGAATCTAAAATTTGATTGGTTGAGATAGATAGGACCCGGGCAAGAAGAAAGTGATTATCCAAGCCCGAGATATAAGTCCATCTTGATTGCTTTGGGCCTATTGAACACACTCAATGCTTATTGCTTAAAAAAAAAAAAACCAAATTGTTTACCAAAAGACAAAATAAATTGGAAAAATCACAATAAAAAACCACTAGACATAAATAAGTGCCCTATAAAATCAAATAATTTTGATATTATTTTATAGGATCAAAAAATCTAAATATAATCAAAATCTATTGTGAAAAGACCAAACTATCCATTTTATGTATGTGTGTGCACTCTTTTAACAAGTCTTTATTCAAGAAAAAGAGTCTCGTTTTCATTTTAACAACGATTAATTCTCTTATTAACAATTTAAAAAAATTAACTTGATGGTGGAGATAAACATGTGTTGTAATTTGGTGAATAAATCCTCCTTCAGAAAAAATTAAATCCCTTCTATATTTTAACAATCATCAATTTTTTCATTAACAAATCCAAAATATTAACTTGATAGAGAGGAATTGCTGTAATCTGGTGAATGAGCCTTCATTCAAGAAAAAAATAAGTTTTATTTCTATTTCAACAATAATTAATTTTCTAATCACACCAAATATATACTCTTTTCGTTCAAAAATATAAGACATTTTTAATTGAATCTTACTCCTTAATAAAGTAATTACCTACTTTTAAATTAACTTTATCTTTTTATATTTATTTCTATTAAATACTCTATAATAAATATAAAGTTATTATTAATGGGGGACGCTTTATTACACTTTGAAAAAAATAAAAATACCTTATATTTTTGAATATTCAACTCTTTAAAAAATATTTTATATTTTTAAATGGAGAAAGTATATATATATATATATATAATGAATAGTTTTGTCTTTTCACAATAAATTTTAATTACATTTAAGTTCTTTAATCCTACAAATTAATATTATAATTATTTAATTTTGTAAAGTAATTAATTGTGTCAAGTGATGTTTGACTGTGATCTTCCCAAACAAATTCAAATAGGAAGAAGATCTCATCTATAGGGATTTAATTAACATAAATCACCAAATATGCGTGTGTGTGTGTGTGTGTATATATGTCAATATCGATACATGATAAAAATATTTAATACTTTAATTATAGATTTTCAGATTTCGTACCTTTTTTTAATTTGAAAAAATTACGTATATGCCTTATAAAAAGTATATTCATGAATAAGTTCCACAAATTTTAAAAAATACATCCAAGTATTCTGCGACATAATTGTAATGTGCAGTGACACTGAAAGGACTGCACTGCCAGTGAAAAAAAAGTGAGGATGGAGCGGACGATTATGAGTTTCAATTCCAAAGAAAATTTTCCTAAAGCCCTCGACACGACGCTGCTACAGTCGCCTTTCAGTCCTGCAAATCGTGAACCATCTGAGGCTCCTCGCCGCCATCATTCACGTGTTTGTAGGTAGGTGATTGCCTCTTCCACTCTCAATGTATTCCATCTTAGTCTATTGCCTCTTGTCTACTCAATCCATGTTCGTCGCTAAACTCTTCTTCTATTCCTGTTTGGTGGATGAGTCTGGTGCTAGTTCAAGATTTTGAGGTAAGTTTTTTGAAGCTTGGTTCCATTACTGTTAATCTATAGATAGATCAGTGAATTGAAAAACTATATTGTAGGAGTCTTGAAACTTGTATGAGTGAATCATGTACCTATTTTCTTTTCCGTTCTCCCTCTTTCTCCTACACATTGATGGATGGAATGTGTGATTTTGATAATTTCGAACATTTTGTAAATGATTAGATATGTTTCGAGTTGGGCATCACTTTTTGATTTGTTGTTGTTCACCAGAGTTTCAATTTGGGTTCCATCTTCGCTTGGATCGGATCCCAATGTCTTTGCTACAGTATCTCCTTTTGTCTATAAATTCTCTTCTCAACAGTTATAATTCAATTTTGATGAGGTAGATTTGAATGCATCAACATTGTTTTACCAAAGTTTGATAAATTTCTTTGTAGTTTTCGGATGGAATATGATTCTGTTTATGTAATCCTGAATTCCTATGAAAATGAGCAAATAAGGAAGTTCAACTTGTAAATATGTGATTGTAAATGATTTTGAAATTCCAAATTTGAAGTCATATGACATGTTTATATCTATTCAAATATTTCTGAAGGTGCTGTGAAAATGAGGAGATTTCCCTTGTAAATATATTACTTACACTTGTGTGTGATACCTGTAAGGATAAGTGTAAACTCTTTTTTCGATTGACACAAGTTCTAGTCTCAATGAGGCAATTCCACCTGTGAATGTGTAAATTCCATTTGCAAATATGCTCATCACACTTGTATATGATGTCTTGTAAGGGTAAGATGCGAAATCCATCTCAATTTTGGCAATTTTGCTTGAAAACGCAAAATGTATAAATTTCACTTCGTAAAAATATGCTAATTACACTTGTAAATGATGCCTTTGGTGAGACTCAAAATTCATCCTTCAAACCTCTTTAAAGCTAAAAGAGGTCTCATTGATAACAATCATTGTCATTTTCTGTGAACCAGTGAGGAAAACATTAGACACATCCTTATACATTGTCACGTAGTGAGAGAAGTGTGGAATTTTTTTATTTCTCCTAACCATTTAGGCATGCTTTAAAAAACTACATTTTTCTAGGTTTTCTTGGCAACCATAAGGCTTTTTGGCTAGTGTGATTTAATCCTACTTGACCCTTATTTTTTTAACACACAAAAGGAAGAATGGAACTATGAGTGTTCTTGTGGTGTTTCGGTAATGTCTGCTTTGTTATGAGCAGAAGGTCATTAACAGCTTCATCAGAGATTACGTCTTTCAATGTGATTATAATGTGTTGGAAGGTGCCGTTTTATGTACTCATGCTTGAAGGAGTTGGTTTCCTCTTGATTTTAGATATGCACTATAAAATGCCTCATGGTGAAGCTACAATAAAAATAAGGAGGAAAGATGCCTCCTCTAATCATGAATTTGTGTGGATGTGTATAGCTGAGATGGGAATGAAACCCATAATTTTTTTTTATTTTCTAAATCTACAATCAATCAATAAAAACAGTGATGTTTGGGTAATGTATGCTTTGTTATGAGCAGAAGGTCATTAACAGCTTTATCAGAGATTATGTCTTCCGATGCGATTATAATGTGTTGGAAGGTGCAGTTTTATGCACTCGCTTGATGGAGATGGTTTCCTCTTCATCTTAGATATGCACTATAAAATGCCTCATGGTGAAGCAACAATAAAAATAAGGGGGAAAGATGCCTGCTCTAATCATGAATTTGGGTGGATGTGTATAACTGAGATGGGAATGAAACTTTTTTTTTTTTTTCTATAGTCTACAAATATGATGGCAAAGCTAGCAAATCTCTCTGGCATCATTAGGAAATTATGCCAGATGCTCTCCTGATCATGCTAGCACTAACAGTCAAGTGTCCCAGAATTGAAAGATTTTAACCCAACAGGTGTAAGTAAAATTAGGACGGCTCTGGTCCTTCCCAATAGATTTACTCTGGTCTGACAATGCTTGAATCTCACTTACTTGTATTTCACTGTCAAGGGATGTTAGGCTTTTCCATCAGCAAGTAACTTTTCTTTCAGTTTTGATTTAGTGGAATCTATCTTTCTATACTGCTTTATCAATGTACAAACTTCATGAGCATTGTGACCATTGCAGCCGTTATGCTATTCTTTCCTCTGATAGATTTGTGATATTTTGTGCTTCTCTTTTTTCCTGACTTTTTTTCTTCAGGGTAAAGATATGATATCCTAAACTTCTCCTACCAGCTTTCAGTCTTCATGTTTTCGTAATACTGTTGCCAAACTTGTCAGATATCCTTCTCTAACTGGATCACCAAGAAGGAAAGAGCGGCTTTTGAAGATTTTGGTCTGCATTGATGCTAGAAGCCTTGAGGGGGGAGTATTTTTTTCTCAAAGAAATTCTGCTTTACCAATATAAGCTTTGTAATATATATTGTATGCCATTGATGTGTACTGATTCTCTGAGAAAATGATGAGATTTGTTAATCATTCCTGGAGGTAATTTTCAAGAAACGCTATTACCTTACCTGTGGTCAGTGATCACTTCTAATAACATATGGCGGCTCTCACTCCAGAAAGTTCAAATGTTGAAGCACGGCATCATGCACTAACTCCACCGAAAGTTTTAAGGGGTCTGGTGTGTCTAGTGGTGCTGTTTTGCACTGCATTTATAATGATAGTGTACTTTGGCTTTGCCTGTGCTGTTATAGTGCGACTATTTAGCATACATTACAGCAGAAAGGCAACTTCCTTTTTCTTTGGTGCTTGGCTAGCTTTGTGGCCTTTCCTATTTGAGAAGATAAACAAGACCAAAGTCACCTTTTCTGGAGACATTGTGCAGTCCGAAGAACGGATCTTGCTGATTGCAAATCATAGAACTGAGGTTGATTGGATGTATTTATGGGACCTTGCCTTGCGCAAGGGATGCATTGGATACATAAAATATGTACTTAAGAGCAGCTTGATGAGACTCCCTGTATTTGGTTGGGCATTTCACATACTGGAATTCATCCCGGTGGAAAGGAAGTGGGAGGTTGATGAATCAACCATGCGAAGCATGCTCTCTACTTTCAAGGATCCTCAAGATCCACTTTGGCTTGCTCTCTTCCCAGAAGGCACTGATTTTACGTAAGCCACTTGCCTATGGTTCCTTTTGTCTCTCTTATGTTTGTCAACTAAAACTTGGTACATGTTTTTGCTCATGATGATTGTGATTCCCAGAATACGAAGGTTTTTTGTACGTGAGTATATACACTATAACGCAGCCACCAGCATTTAGATGCAAGTTTGAAGGATGCTTATATATGTTGTTATATAAAGTAGCGTATTTGGCTATGTAGTTTATAGCATTCTGTTGATAGTTTCTCACCATCTTTCTGGTTTCTAATATAGTGAGAAGAAGCGTGATCAGTGTCAAAAATACGCTGCTGAACATGGGTTACCCATTCTGAAACATGTTTTGCTTCCAAGGACAAAGGGCTTCTGCACCTGCTTGACAGAATTGAGGGGTTCTCTGGATGCAGGTTGTCCTTTATTTCTTTGTTTTCTTTCTACCTGTAACGACTATTGAATGTTAAATGTAGTTATGCTTCCTTTTTTGAGGCATTCCCTTTACTCATCCAAGAACTATGCGTCACGTAGTCTATAGAGATGACAATTTAGGCTTGACTTGCTCCAACCGGTTTGGGGTGAGTCTGACTGTTTTAGCCTAATCTTTATAGTTTCAGTTTGGGGTGCTGATGAAATATAAGTATAATATATTTTAAAGAACCCTGGGCTAGTAGATTATTATTATTCTAGGAAGAAATATGTTTTCTTGTGTTATTTTAATATGTTGTTTCCTTTGTGTTATTTTAATATTTTATAAAAGGAAATCTGAAAATTGGCTTTATATGGTTGAGTGATCAAGGTTTTTTTAATAGTTAGGCAACTTTAGTTTAAATAGACTAGGGTTTGCTCTTGTAAGGGGACCTTTTGCTGAATGAATGAGTATTATGGGTTAATTTCTGAAAGCTCTCTCTCCCTCCTCCTTCCGCCTACCTCCCTCTTGCCCCCACTGTTCTGTCATTATATTCTTCCCTCTCCCTCTGTTTCAGATTTCCCCCTAATCTCTCCCTCCCTGTTTCTGTTTTCTCTCTACTCTCTCCCTCTATCGAGAACTGTGCTAGTGTGTGAGTGTGCGTTACATCAGGTGGGATGAAGGCAGAGTAGTTCCATATGTCCCCGAACAGCCTTATATCCCTCTACAATATTATCTCCAAAATTATCTATGGCAAGATTCAAATATATAAATATCTATTCATTTTCTTGCTGTAACTCTATCAAGGTTTCTACTCAAAACTAAGCATCGATGAAATTTTATATAATCTTTTGTTCAAGTATTTTTTATACTTGAACATATGAACTCATTTGAAAGAGGTTTTTTAAGGAAGGTGAATGAGATTATATTCAACCCAAAACAATTCATCAATAGGGGTATGCCTCTATACAAAAGAATAAATGGTCTGTGTGATAGGGGGGACAAGCAAACTTAAAATTGTTAAATCTTCTATCTAACGTCTTGGTATATCTATAGACAAGTGTTTCTATTTAACCTTCAAATCATTTACAATTCTATGACAGATTTGAGTACCTATTTGGGAGTTCTTGTCAAAAACCAAAGCATTCCCACCTTTCAAACAGAATATTTCATAGCACAAAACATGGCCACCATAAGTTTATCCTATGATTCCTTCTACAACAACAACAACAAGCCTTTATCCCACTAGGTGGGGTCGGCTACATGGATTGCAAGACGCCATTGTGCTCTATCATTTATTAAGCTTTTAGAAATATTATTAATTAAGAGATCACGTTCAACAACTTCCAAGAGTGTTCTCTTAGGCCTTCCTCTACCTCTCTTAATCGGACTCAAAGTTATATGTTCCACTCTTCTCACTGGTGCCTCCCTTGGTCTTCTTTGTACATGCCCAAACCATCTCAATCGATTTTCTACCATTTTTTCCTCAATAGGTGCCACCCTCACTTTTTCACGTATGTGCTCATTTCGAATTTTATCTTTACGTGTATGTCCGCACATCCATCGTAACATTCTCATCTCTGCTACTCCAACTTTATGCTCTTGCTGTCCCGTTAGAGCCCAGCATTCACTACTATATAACATTGCCGGTCTGATAGCAGTACGATAAAACTTTCCTTTAAGTTTATTAGGCACCTTACGGTCACAAATAACTCCTTTAGCTTTTCTCCAATTAAACCACCCAGCTTGAATTCTATGTGAAATATCTCCACTGATTTCGCCATCATTTTGAATAATGGCTCCCAAATATCTAAACTTTTCCACTTGAGGTATAATTTGATCTCCCAATTTCACTTCCAAATTATTTTCGAATAGTCCTTTACCAAATTTACAATATAAATATTCCGTCTTACTTCTACTCAGACGAAAACCTTTCGACTCCAATGTCCTCCTCCATAACTCAAGTTTGCAATTAACCTCTTCTCTTGTCTCTGCTATAAGAACTATATCATCCGCGAAGAGCATACATTTCGGGATTTCCTCTTGAATATGTTCCGTCAAAACATTTAAAATCAAGTTAAACAAATAAGGACTCAGAGATGATCCCTGATGTAGTCCAATCTTTATAGGAAAATCCTTTGTTTGACCACTAGGCGTTCTTATACTAGTTTTTACCCCCTCATACATATCTTGTATGGCTTTAATATAAGCAATCCGTACTCCCTTTTTTTCCAACGCTTTCCAAAGCACTTCTCTTGGTATACGGTCATAAGCTTTTTCCAAATCAATAAAAACCATGTGTAGATCTTTATCTTTACAACGATACTTTTCCATTAATCCCCTTAGTAGATAAATCGCCTCTGTAGTTGATCTACCTGGCATAAAACCAAATTGATTCTCAGAAATACTTGTCTCCAATCTCAACCTGTGCTCAATTACTTTCTCCCACAATTTCATTGTGTGGCTCATGAGTTTAATCCCTCTATAGTTAGTACAATTCTGAATATCTCCTTTATTTTTATAAATAGGAATTAATGTACTTCTCCTCCACTCATCAGGCATTTTCTTGGACCGTAAAATCACATTAAATAACTTAGTTAACCATCTCACCCCTTCTTCACCTAAACATTTCCACGCTTCGATAGATATACAATCAGGTCCGTTGGCTCTACCATTTGCCATTTTCTTAAGAGCTTCCTTTACCTCCTTATCACGTATTTTTCGATAGAATGACAAATTTTGTTCTCCTTCACCAGTTACTAAATCCTCCAAGTTACTAGATGAATCCTCTCCATCATTGAAAAGTTTAGAAAAATAAGTCTCCCATCTATTTTTAATTTCATCATCTGTAACTAAAATTCTTCCCTCTTCATCCTTAATACACCTTACCTGTTCTAGATCTCTTGATTTTCTTTCCCTACTCTTGGCAATCTTATAAATATTTTGCTCTCCTTCCTTCGTCTCAAGGTTCTTATAAAATTCTTCAAAAGCTTTAGAACGAGCTTCACCCACAGCTCTCTTAGTTTCCTTCTTAGCCATACGGTACCTCTCCCAATTTTCCTCATTGTTACACAAATGTATGGCTTTAAAACAGTTCTTCTTATACTTGATTTTGTCCTGTACACTATTATTCCACCACCAAGACTCCTTATCTCTCGGACCAGAACCTTTCGATTCTCCCAAAACTACTTTTGCAACCTCCCGTATCTTTTTAGCCATATCCTCCCATATAATGTTAGCACTTCCCTGAGAATCCCAAATTCCTTTATCCAAAAGATTTCGCTTGAAAATATCTTGCTTCTCACCTTTTAATTGCCACCATCTAATCCTTGGTGTTACTACTTGTCGACGTTTTTGGATTTTACTCATAATACACACATCAAGGACTAGGACCCTATGTTGTGTCGTTACAGCATCTCCGGGTATCACCTTACAATTTTTACAAAGTTTTCTATCTGTGTTCCTAACCAAAAGAAAATCAATCTGCGACCTTGAGGCTCCACTTTTGTAAGTGATGAGATGCTCATCTCTCTTCTTGAAACAAGTGTTGGCAATCTTAAAATCATACGCCAATGAGAAATCAAGAAGAGTTTGTCCTTCATTGTTTAGCTCTCCAAAACCAAAACCACCATGCACCCTCGCATACTGACCAGCTTCCCTCCCGACATGCCCATTAAAGTCTCCTCCAATAAAAATCTTTTCACTCTGTGGTATGTGTCGAATCAACCCCTCTAGATCCTCCCAAAATAATTCCTTAAGACTGGCTTCTGTCCCGACTTGCGGCGCATAAGCGCTAATAATATTAACAGTCTCACGTCCAATTATCATTTTTAAAGAAATAATTCTATCTCCAATTCTGCTAACTGCTACAACGTTCTTCTTCCACTCCTTATCTATAATGATGCCTACTCCATTGCGTGCACTTACTTTTCCTGTATACCAAAGTTTGAAACCTTGAATATCCTTAGCTTCTTCTCCACGCCATTTTGTTTCTTGCAAGCAAATGATATTGATTTTCCTTTGAATCATAACCCCTACAACCTCTACAGATTTACAATTTAATGTCCCAACATTCCAAGTACCAAATCTAATTTTGCTCTTATGGACTAACTTCTTTAGCCGCGTGCGTCCAGAATGACGCGGTAGCCCTTGCTCATTTAACACTACATCCGGGCGCCGATGCAGCGGCTCTAACTCACTTATCACTGTACTCGAGCCATGCAGCGCGTTACTTACGGGCAACGACCTAGCATTAACATTATAACGTCTATTGTCCATGTTCATGATAGATTCAACAAATTTTTACATTGGCTGTTGATGGCCTAACACAACCCTCCTCCTTTACCCGGGCTTGGGACCGGCTATAAACATAGGCGGAGTTCCTATGATTCCTTCTAGTTTGAACAAAAATATGTTGCTACATAGAAATTCTAGAAGAACCAATATCATTTGAAAGAGGTTTGTAAGGTCAGATTATTCTTTTTTAATGTGTCTTGAGGCAGGAAAAGACAAGTACTTTCAAGTAAGTGTGGAAAAGAAAAAACCTCGCAAGTCTCTGAAATAGGTACAAGGCAAAAATAAGGAGGAGCAACACAGTACTGAGAACTGGAAAATTGGTTCTGGCCTAATATCATCCCTACGAGTCTCTTTTTCTTTTGACATGATGGCGTCTTTTTTTTTTTTCACAATAAAGCAACATGTGCAACCTCCTAATTGCCCCTGTACGAAATTAGGAGAATATAATAGTGCACATATTTTAAGTTGCTGATTCTAACAGTACTTTCTATTTGATGAGGAACTGTGGAAACAAGCTTATATATTCATCTGTTTCTATTTTGCATAAACAGTTCTAAAGTAATTAATTTCAAGTTTCTTATACTGTATTGAATATAGTTTATGATGTGACCATCGGCTACAAATACCGCTGCCCATCTTTTCTGGACAATGTCTTCGGAGTGGCTCCTTCTGAAGTTCACATGCATGTCTGCAGAATCTCCCTTGACTGTATCCCAGAATCTGAAGATGAAATGTCGTCGTGGTTGATCAATAGGTTTCGGATTAAGGACCAATTGCTGTCAAATTTTTATGGCCAAGGTCAGTTCCCTAATCAAGTAACAGAAAAGGAGCTCTCTGATGTGAAGAGTATTTTAAACTTCATGGCGGTTATCATGGTAACTGGGACATGTATGTTCTACATTTTCTCATCTGTCTGGTTCAAAATCTATGTTTCTTTAGTATGCGCTTATTTGGCTTCTGCTACCTATTTAAATGTTCGTCCTTATCCATGGATTTGAGATCATTCTATGATTTTGTTGTTGTAATATGAACATTGTAATGTACTACTTGCTAGTGCATGTAATTTCATCCCATGTTTTATGAGTTTCTTAGTAAAAGTGACACGTTGAAATAATTTGAAACAAGTGCTCCAATGAATGAGGTTATTAGATGGTGATTTGATAATCGGTTGGTTTATCAAATTACTTGGGAAAAATTACGTATAGGTCCGCAAATTTGAGAACATACTGCCAACTCCCATGGTCGTGGTACTTGATTGTAGTTGAAATTTTAGATGAAAAGACTTTTATGCCCTGTTTCCTAAAAAATCCCAAAAAATCTCCAAAGCAGAGGAAACCAAGCGTCACCATCCAGAAACGCAAAAGTGACTAGTGAACCTTCAACATCCTCGGATCATTTTCTCGAATACTCCCACCATGACCTCCCTAACGACGTCGCTCTGATGACCCTCGACTTCTTATCTGCAGCCTCCAGAGTTGCCAGACCATGCAAAAAAAAAAAAAAAAATCAACGTATCTTCCTTAGTTCAGGGTAAGTCTTGATAATTACTTTTCTTTGTTTATTATTTCTTTTTATTATAACTATGTATATTTATAAATATTTTTCTTGTAGAATTGTGTAGGTGCAATTGATGGTATACATGTAAATGTTTGGGTACCTTTTGAAAAGCAAGCATTATGTAAAGGATGGAAGACAATTGTTATACAAAATGTTATGTGTATTGAAACTTCTATTCGGGTTGGGAGGTTGGTACCCATAATGCTAAGATTTTAATGGATGCAATTAACAATCCTCACGCAACTTTTTCATGACCCTTTAGAGGTATATTTTTACATAAAATGTTTATATATATATATTACTAGCTCATTTATAAATATTTTTTTTGTTTTTGTTATATATAGATAAATATTTTCTTGTAGATTTTGGACACACTTGCAGTGATGGTTTTCTTCCACCATACAGAGGGAAAAGATACCATGCACAAGAATATCAAGGTAGAGGCTATTGAAGTACAAGTCAAAGAGAATCTTTTAATTTTAGGCATTTTTCATTAAGAATGATGATTGAGTGTTCTTTTGGAATCTTGAAGGCTTGATTTTCCAATTACATATGTAAAGCAGTCTTCGTGATATGCCTAATCAATCAATGAGAAAATATGGATTTTGAACTAGTGGAGTGGATGAATGAAAACACAAATGCAGAAAGTGCAAGCTATAACCTAGAGAACTCTTTAAGATTATATGAAGAAAGTACAATAAAGATGGCAACACAACGTGATTATATTACATCTCAAATGTGGCATGATTTTAGTACTCATCTTAATTAAGCTTGGCCTTGTGTTTTTTAAATCAATTTTTTGGAGACTTTGCTTAGGATTATGTTAGTTTGAGGGTTGATTTTTTTTATAAGACTCTTATATATTCCAGTGTTATTTTTGTTATTTTTTCAGTGATTCTATTCAAATTTTATTATTAAATTAATTTATAGTAATAATATAATATTAAATAAATATAAAAAATTATGTTAATGTTAATTATGTAAAACAAGTCATCAAACAAGTTTTTTTGTTTTTTTCCCTGTCACACTCTCACTTTTCACACTTCTCTAGGCAACTAGAAGTGATATGGTTCAAGTGAACAGCAAATTAAAACCCATAAATTAAAATTTATAAATCAATTGTTGGGTTATTGCTCATTTGGTAAGTCTAAAATATTTGCTAAATTTTAAAAATTTATAACTAAATATTGAGAATTTGCATGAGAATGTTCTAAAATTCTCTTGAAATCTTTTGAAGTCCTTTAAATGATAAAAATATATTTTAAACCTTTTTCGGTTTCCAATAGCATAATTTATTCACTTTTTCAAAGTTGCTCTATTTCTCTTACAGGATCTGTGTTATAACTAAAAAAAATTCATAACTCAAGATTTATATATCCAAATGATCTAGTGTAGCACTTGTTGGAAATATTTAAGTGTCTATTTTTTTTTTCATAAAAATTTTCATGAGCATTGGACATGGGTTACTATACATTCAATAATGAAACCTTCCTCTGAAAAGAGCTTAAACTGAACAATCTCAATCATACATATTAAAATCAAAATTTCAAGGCTTGTTTGGGATTTCAAATTGGCCATCATACTTCACCACATATCATATATACATACCAAGGTCTGATCATAAATTTACATAGCTCATGGAATTATTTATACATTTTTTATCTTTTAGTAAAGTAATTTCATAATAAAATCATCTCTTCATTTACTTACCTTTACTTCTTACTCTAACTCTTTCTTTGGAGGCTTATAACCTAGAATGGTTAGTCATTGGGGGTGAGATTTGAGAGAATCTCAATGGTAAACAAAACCATTCAAGCATACAAGGTAAAAACTTCATATGTGACAAATGCTTGCATTACATAAACTCATAACTAACATGACATGTTACATGCACAATATCTCATACATCATACACAGACCATGGAACACTTGAAAAAATAGAACTCAAACATTCATTCATGATTCTTATAATCAAGAAAACAAATCAAACATATCAACATACAAACAGAAATACTAAGTATGCATTCAAGGGTAAATTTACTACCTTTTAGTTTTATTATTTCTTCTTTGCTTTTATAACTTAACCCCCCATGATCAAACCTCCAATTCCACTTCCATATTGTCCAATGGCCCTAAATAAACATCACACATTAATTGAAAAACTCCTCAAGACCATTGAAACTACTAACATTTCAAGAATATTTTTACTTACTCTTTTTGACTTAAAATTTCACCTTTTTTATTCTTAACTTCTAAAATTATCTTTTTGGCGATTTCCCAGTCAATTTTCCATGAGGAATTCATTTTTGATCTCATATATAACAAATTCCAACTCCTTGTAGCCAATCATAATTTGACTAAAGGTTTAGAGTACTTGAACCCTAACTCTTACTTTGAGTTCTTGTTAAATTCTTGCCTGATTTTCCATAACTTTAGACTCGGTTGTGAATCATATTCCATATGCTTAAATACTTAACTAATCGTCTCTTAATTCTTTGAAAAATTGGACAGCATTTCTCCATGAAAAATGGTTATCCAAAAATTATGCAAAGCTTGAAATCAAACTCCTACTCATTAACAATCACTAAATAACATTTCTATGACCATTTTAAACCCTTCCCTATCATTTAATCATCAAAATATAGCCTTATCTTCTCTAGAAAACAGGAAAGCATCACAACTCAAGAAAACTCAAACAAAAAATTATGAAACCTAGCTCAAAATGGAGCTCTTTCATACCTCTACTTCAAGCACTAACTTGTTTTTGCTTTCCCCATTTCTTTTTCCATCGTTTCCACATCAAACTCTTCCTCTTAAAAATCTAAAACCATAAGAATGTTGCTCTTGATGAAAGGAACAACTTTTGTGAAGGGATTTTGAGGTAAAAATGTGATTTTGATAGAGATTTTGCTTGTCTTTCTTTTTCTCTCTCTAAATTTTTATGGAAGAGCCTCATGCACTCTCCCTCTCTATTTCTGCAATTTGGCCACCAAAAATGAGTGAAGAAGGGGAGATCACGTGGGGTTAAAGTGGAGAAATTAACTTGATTTAATAACTTGTTCAATTCCACTAATTTCCAACCAAGCATTTTTCCATTTGATTTCGGACGAGTAAAATTAAATTTCTCCTTAGTTTCTGCCCATTATCCACGCCATTTCTGCCTCCAAAAATTGGGCTTGAATTTGCCTCATGTCACTTCCTATCTATGCGTAGAAATGTTGGTATTTTTTTTACCTTAATATAATTTAAATTCTATAATTAATTATTTGAAAAATTCTCAACCAATAAAATTGGTATTACTCTTCTAAATATTTCTTCCTTTCATATACTAATTTTCTTTAATTCTTCATGAAATTTGGATAATTTTTTATAATTACACTTTAAGCTTTAAAATTTTTAAAAATTACATTTTGACTCCCGTGAGTTCAACATTTCTGGATTAACATTCACTCTTGTTTATTTTTAACTCTTGGTACTTTCTTATACTTTCATTTATTTAATTACATATAACTACCCTAGTACATTAATAATTATCATCTAATTTTGAATAGGTTATTACTCTTACTCATTTTTCTTTTCTTTCATTTTGTAGCCTAGTCAGTAGTTGACCTATCTAAGAAAAAATCAATGATACTCTCTCTATGACAATTAGCCAAACTCAAGAGGCTTTTGTAGCTTGATAACTTTCTTTTAAATCTATTATGACCATAAGATCTTATTACGATCTTACTGAGCTCTTTTTGAATTTATTATGATTTATATGATCTAACTGCAATCATTCTCTATGAGACTTAAGATATAAGGATAAAGTTATTAAATAACTACTTCTATGTAGTCTGGTAACTGTATTGATTATTCTTCAAGATTAATCTTGGATATATTTATTACCCTCCTAGGCCTTTTATATTCCTTTTAGCCTATCCTAGATTGTTCTTAACTATAACTTACTCATACTTCAATTAAAAATATTTTCTTGATGTCTCTTTAAATATTTTGCTTTTGTCCAACAAAAACTTTAAAGTTATGATATAATCCTTGAGAATCATTCCACCTTTTTAGGGAACCTTAGGGACTCTTGATTACTTGGATTGGATAGCTTACTGAATTTTAACATATTCTTGAGCTTCCATGCTTAAAATTCAGGATGTTACATTCTCAATATTTTTTGAGAATAATTGATCAAAAAAGTTTCTTTTTTTTTCGTTATGAGATATAATTTTATAAAACAATTATTCAAATAAGTTTTTATTTATTTTTTTCTTAAATATGTTTTATAGAATATTAGCTTTGAGAATAATAAAATAAAAACAGTGCCATGGAGTTTCTTGAGAGATTGAGCTTCTAATTTTTTTTTAATTACGTAGAAATAAATCACTTATTTCCTGTAAAGTTTCACTTCATCTTATAATTTTCTTCATGCTAAGCAACTCCTAATTAAGTGATTAATTTAATTAAGTTTAAATTTATATATTTTATATCTCTAATAAAAAATTAAAAATGAATATTTGCTACCAATCTTGTCTATATAGAATTATATTTTCCTCATTGAATCAGTGAATTCTGAATCCTGTGTCTATCTTGATCTAACTGTTTAGTAGTAATAAAATATGTGATAACACGTTTATGTGTATATTATAATTTATTTTAAAATTGTTTTGTACTCAATTAATATATAAAAAATCAAGCAATAATTGCAATTTCTTTAGCGGCTCTATCTCAATCGAAAGGCCATCTATTTGTCCTAAAATGTAAATTAATTAAAGAAAGCAGCCACTAAAATTAATTGCACAAAAACAAACAAGAAATCATATTAAATTTAATCCAAAACAACTTAATAAAAATTTCTTAGTTCTGATTCCATTTAATAAATAAATTAAGAAAACATCGTTATTGAAGACATGTAATATTAATATACAAGACTCCAAACATTAACTTTCAATCAATATAATATATCAAAATATAAAAAAAATTACAGTAAGCTTTATAAATTAAGATCATAAATAATGTAAATCATTTCATAAATTCATATGGAAAATACACAAGCATGCCTCATTTTAACTAAATATCATGCTCGCTGCCCAATAAAAATTGGTATAATTAGTTAGTCGATGCTACTATGATTTTATTTATAAATTACTTTCAACATATTTTTATTAAGATTAAAGAAAATTTTAAAATTTATTAACTCTATATAGAAATTGAATAATTTCTCAACTTTATCTTTATTAAATATAGATACTTTAATAATATATTTTCTCTTTTCAATATTCAATAAAAGTTTAATGAAATTACTTATAAATAAGAATAAAAAAATTTTTCTCACTATACCCTATAATAAAACTAGAGGGAGCATAAGATAATGAGATACATTCAAACTTTGCCTTCAAAACTTAACCCATGTAATCCTTTTATTTTAATGGTTGAAAAAAAAAATCTGAGTTATGTTCTAATATCTTATCAAGATTAGGACAAGCCTTGAAGTCTAAAAAGAACATGGAAAACCAATCTAAATTTTTGTTCACAGTGTGCGTCTGTGTGTGTGTGATCAACGATGGTTGTGTGTAGTGAGAATAATTCTGATTTTCTCAAGGCAAGAATAATGATTTAAACACCGCTGACAAAAAAATGACCTTAAAAATTTATCACACATATATCATGCTACTTTTAGTTTTATATATAAGTCACTTCTAATTATTTCATTAAAATTAAGAAGAAGAAATTAATTAAGCTATAGATATTTTTAAGAGAAAGTTACCAATTTATCCTTGTTAAATAACCGTTTTTTAAAACTCTCTTGCATGTGTAACTTTTTGTTTTTACTCCACTCATAAAAAAAATATAGGAAGATAAAATTGAGAGAAAGTAAACAATGATTCATTTTTTCAATGCAAAGTGACTTATAAAAAGAATCATCAATTCCTTCTAAAAATAACTTATATATACTTCCTCTAATTCTTGTTATAAGACAAATTTGATCAATTTTGCACTTATTAAGAAATGATAGGTATATTCTTAAAATTGTTAAAAGTAAACTATGTAATTTTTCAATTTTGTTCCCCTTTACAATTAATAATCATAATAAATAGTTATCTAAAATTTCAAATTATAATAAAAAATAAATAAATAAGGGATAAAATTGGAAAAAATATTACTTCTTCTAACTTCGTCTTACATTAAGGATCAATTTTTTTTTCCAAAATTTTGACTTAAATTAAAGATCGAAAAAAAATATAATCCGCGTGAGACGATAATATGCTTTTGTTTTTTTGGGGGTACAGGATAATATGCTATTTTTGGCTAGTGGACATTACTGTGACTTCTCCATAAAGCACCTTTGTTTACTTGGCTTTAATCTAATGGAACTTCCACAACACATTGATGTTGTGGTTGTCCAAATAAAGAAACCTAATAATTTACAATAATAATGAATCTAATGCTCTGTTCCTAATGGTGATTGCCATCAAATAAATCCTTCTTATTGGTCCAACCCAATAAAGAATCTCTCAATCACATCAAAATGTCATTTTCCAAACCTCACATCACATTATAATTAACCCCATTAACATTCTCTTATTTATCATATATTATTATGTTATTATGCATCAATCTCTTTTTATTATATATACTCATTTAATTTTATTTATAAATTATTTCTATTCATTTCATTAATATTAATGTAAAAAAAATTAAAAAAATAAAAATGTATAGAATATTAAATATATCCTCATATAATAAATTCAAAAAGTAATATTATGTTACTTTTTTTTTAAAAAGAATAATTATAAAAATATCTTTTAAATACCACCTTAAAAGCTATATCATGACTTATAAACAGAATCAAATGGACTCTTTAAAATGTGTTTTATAAATGAAACCGAAGGGAATATTATGCATCAACCTCTTCTTATTCAATGAAGATATTTTTCTATCCTCATGATGTGATTCCTTAAGTTAATCAACTTCCAATGACAATAGACATTTCACCTTGCTTAGACATTATTATTAGTTAATTAGGTAATTAGCAAGTTTTTTTATTATATTAATAAAATGTCTTGTTGGACTATAGTGCAATAGTTGTAATCATGAATGACACAAGAAGCTAAACCATGCACTAATTAAAGTGGGTGACGCAGTTTTAATGTATTTGGGGTCCAGGTCAATTCAATTATGTGTTACAAAGTATGTATAATTACATGACAACAACAAAATAGTTTAATTAAGTTATTTTTTTTAGCATTTGATCATAGATATTTGTATTAAAATAACATTGGTTCGATTAAAATAACATCGCCACTCTGTAGTGATGTGAATTTTTTAAATTTAATTTTCTTGTTTTGATTGAATCGATGTTGTTCTTGAAAATTATCTTATTGTTGTTCTTGTAATAATCGAAAAATGTTAATATATATTTAAAAAACTCACATGAATTGACGGCCCAAAAAAAAAAAAAAATTAGCTCGCGTGAATTAATCCACCATATGAGAAACGTTAATCGAGGTCAAATGAGATTACATTTCAGTATTGTCATTTATATTAAAATTCACTTTTATGCACTTTTATGCATAGAAATCAAGTTCAAATTGTAATTTAGTTTTTACTTGATTAGTTATTAATTATGTAGTTTAAAATTGGGTTAAAGTATAAATCTACCCTCAAAATTTTCAACCAAGCTCACCCTGTATTTTAAAATATTTTTTGACACAATTTCACCCTAACGTTTTTTATTTTGATACAATTTTCCCCGAACATCACTGTTTGACCAAATTGATTGTTAGTTGATCTATTTGACTTGTTGATGCTCATGTGGCATGCCTATGTGGCATCCACATCATTTTTTTTTCTGAAAATAATTTTTAATGTGGATTGTTTTTTGCTTCAACTTAGAAATAAAAATGATATAACCAAAGCAAAATTGAAGGGAAACAATGATATAATTTCTCTTGCCAAGGAAAAAAAAAATTTGATGCAATTTTCCCCTGATCCTCTACACTGA